CCCTCCATCCTGACTAATCTTCCAGTTCCTGCCACTGAAAAACATCCCCACAGCATGATGCTGCCACCACCATGCTTCACTGTAGGGATGGTGCCAGGTTTCCTCCAAACATGACGCTTGGCATTCAGGCCAAAGAGTTCAATCTTGGTTTCATCAGACCAGAGAATCTTGTTTCTCATGGTCTGAGAGTCCATGTGTCTTTTACTGAGGAGTGGCTTCCGTCTGGCCACTCTACCATAAAGGCCTGATTGGTGGAGTGCTGCAGAGATGGTTTTCCTTCCGGAAGGTTCTCCCATCTCCACAGAGGAACTCTGGAGCTCTGTCAGAGTGACCATCGGGATCTTGGTCACCTCCCTGACCAAGGCCCTTCTCCCCCGATTGCTCAGTTTGGCCGAGCGGCCAGCTCTAGGAAGAGTCTTGGTGGTTCCAAACTTCTTCCATTTAAGAATGATGGAGGTTCAATTGGAGGCTACTGTGTTCTTGGGGACCTTCAATTATGCAGAAATTGTTTTGTACCCTTCCCCAGATCTGTGCCTCGACACAATCCTGTCTTGAGCTCTGCAGACAATTCCTTCGACCTCATGGCTTGGTTTTTGCTCTGACATGCAATGTCAATTGTGGGACCTTATATAGACAGGTGTGTGCTTTTCCAAATCATGTCCAATCAATTGAATTTACCACAGGTGGACTCCAATCAAGTTGTAGAAATATCTAAAGGGTGATCAGTGGAAACAGGATGCACCTGAGCTCAATTGTGAGTCTCATAGCAAAGGGTTTGAATACGTTTGCAAACATTTCTAAAAACATGTTCTTGCTTTGTCATTATGGGGTATTGTGCGTAGATTCATGAGGATTTATTTTTAATTTAATCCATTTTAGAATAAGGCTGTAACATAACAAAATGTGGAAAAAGGAAAGGGGTCAATACTTTCCGAATGCACTGTACATATGGGGGTTATCATCACAGAAACATTCATGTTGAATTGTCAGGTATTGTGGGATGGTCAAGTAATTTGGGATTGTCATGTCATGTTGGATTGTTGAATGTTGAATAGTTGTTTGAGGTGCTTTGTTATTTTACTGTGACACACACAAAAACAGTAGCCTTCATGAGTAGCTGTTACGAGCTTCCACACTTAAGGTCAAGGGGGATTTCCTGCAAGAGATGACATTTTTCCAGACCAAGGTCATCGTCTGTAGGCACCAATCAGAAAATGAAAAAGGAGCGACAGGAGGAAACACTGAGACAAAAGCAGTGCACACTGTAGCAAAACTGTCAAACAACGTTACGCAAGAGTTTCTACAAGACCAATTCAGCTAGGTTATTTTCTGATTCGGCACATTTGGTTCCGTTTGGTTCCTTGTGAATACATCCCTGAACTTGTTCAATGATAAACTGTCCTTTACGTTTGTCCATTTCTGTTTTTCTAGATAATATGAACTATACCAGATGTCAAGGAGAAGGTAAAGAAGACGTGGATACAGTACCAGTCCAAAGTTTGGACACATCACATTCTCATTCCAGGGTTTTTCTTTATTTTTACTATTTTCTACATTGTAGAATAATAGTGAAGACATCAAAACTATGAAATAACACATACGGAATCATGTAGTAACCAAAAAAGTGATAACTTATATGTTATATTTGAGATTCTTCAAAGTAGCCACCCTTTGCCTTGATGACGGCTTTGCACACTCTTGGTAAAAAACACTTGAATGAGTAGGGTGTTCTAAAACTTTTGACTGGTACTGTAGTTAATGAACCAGTTAAGGCTAATTTCTGTTTGACATTTCAAAGCGTTTTCTGTTTGTTTTCATACAATAAGTTTTGTAGTGATTCCTATGTTGTTGATGTGAAGAAGAATATTTGTTGGTCTGTGTAATGACGAGCAACCAGACGCTGCACTTGACACATTTATGAAATTGCTTATCCTAGTTACTAATAAGCATGCACCCATTAAGAAAATTAGGAATTGAAATGCTTTATGGTTGAGAGGGATGAGGCAAAATAAATGGCAAATAGGTCTGGCTGTACAACCGATTGGCAAATTGAGAAATTATGTGACTAAAGTGAATAAAAAGAAGAAGAAACTACACTATGAAACAAGGATAAATGACATAAATAATGATAGTAAAAAGCTTTGGAGCACCTTAAATGAAATTTTGGGCAAAAAGGCAAACTCCGCTCCATCATTACATTTTAGTAATTTTTTCATACTGGTCCCCCGTGGGAAACGAACACACAACCCTGACGTTGCAAACGCCATGCTCTACCAACTGAGCTACACAGGACTACATCATTCATTGAATCAGATGGCTCATTCATCACAAAACCCAGTGATATTGCCAACTAATATTAATTATTTTCTCACTGGCAAGATTAGACAAACACTGACACTACACATCCAAGTATATCTGACCAAATTATGAGAGACAAGCAATGTAATTTTGAGTTCCATAAATTAAGTCTGGAAGAGGTGAAAAAATGGTTATTGTCAATCAACAATGACAAGCCATTGGGGTCTGACAATTTGGATGGAAAATTACTGAGGATAAAAGCGGACAATAATGCCACTCCTATTTGCCATATCTTCAATTTAAGCCTACTAGAAAGTGTGTGCCCTCAGGCCTGGAGGGAAGCAAAAGTTATTCCCCTAGCTAAGAATAGTAAAGCCCCCTTAACTGGCACAAATTGCCGACCAATCAGCCTGTTACAAACCCTTAGTAAATCTTTGGAAAAAATTCTGTCTGTGCTATTTCACAGTAAACAAACTGACAACAGACTTTCAGCACACTTATAGGGAAGGACATTCAACAAGCACAGCACTTACACAAATGACTGATGATTGGCTGAGAGAAATGAATGATAAAAAGATTGTGAGGGCTGTTTTGTTAGACTTCAGTGTGGCTTTTGACATAATTGATCATAGTCTGTTGCTGGAAAAACATATGTGTTATGGCTTTACACCCCCTGCTATAATGTGGATAAAGAGTTACCTGTCTAACAGAACACAGAGGGTGTTTTTTAATGGAAGCCTCTCCAACAAAATCCAGGTAGAATCAGGAATTCCCCAGGGCAGCTGTCTAGGCCCCTGACTTTTTTCAATCTTTATTAACGACATGCCACTGGCTTTGAGTAAAGCCAGTTAATCTATGTGTGCGGATGACTCAACACTATACACATCAGCTACTACAGCAACTGAAATAACTGCAACACTTAACAAAGAGCTGCAGTTAGTTTCAGAATGGGTGGCAAGGAATAAGTTAGTCCTAAATATTTCAAAAACTAAAAGCATTGTATTTGGGACAAATAATTTACTAAACCCTAAACCTCAACTAAATCTTGTAATGAATAATGTGGAAATTTAGCAAGTTGAGGAGACTAAATTGCTTGGAGTAACCCTGAATTGTAAACTGTCATGGTCAAAACATATTGATACAACAGTAGCTAGGATGGGGAGAAGTCTGTCTATAATAAAGCGCTGCTCTGCATTCTTAACAGCACTATCAACAAGGCAGGTCCTACACGCCCTAGTTTTGTCGCACCTGGACTACTGTTCAGTCGTGTGGTTAGGTGCCACAAAGAGGGACTTGGAAAATTGCAATTGGCTCAGAACAGGGCAGCACAGCTGGCCCTTGGATGTACACAGAGAGCTAACATGAATAATATGCATGTCAATCTCTCCTGGCTCAAAGTGGAGGAGAGATTGACTTCATCACCACTTGTATTTGTGAGAGGTATTGACATGTTGAATGAACCGAGCTGTCTGTTTGGACACCCATGCATACCCCAAAAGACATGCCACCAGAGGTCTCTTCACAGTCCCCAAGTCCAGAACAGACTATGGGAGGTGCACAGTACTACATAGAGCCATGACTACATGGAACTCTATTCCACATCAAGTAACTCATGCCAGCAGTAAAATTTGATTTAAAAAACAGATAAAAATGCATCTTATGGAACAGCGGACTGTGAAGCAACACAAACATAGACACATGCATAAAAACACACGATAACATACGCACTATACACACGTACACATGGATTTTGTGTTGTAGATATGTGGTCGTAGAGTAGAGGCCTGAGGGCACACAATTAATATGTTGTGAAATCTGTCATGAATGTATTGTAATGTTTTTAAAATGTATAGCTGCCTTGATTTTGCTGGACCTCAGGAAGAGTAGCTGCTGCCTTGGCAGGAACTAATGGGGATCCATAATAAATACAAATACAAATACAAATGTCAGCCAGTTACTTGGTCCTTGGATTCCTCACGTCCCCTCAGCCTAGCTCCCCCCTCTCTCCTTCTCACTTCCCCTCACCCTCTCCTCAGCCTCTCTCTCCCCTCTCTCCTCCTCACCTCCCCTCACCCTATCCTCAGCCTCTCTCCTCCCTCTCTCCTCCTCACCTCCCCTCACCCTCTCCTCAGCCTCTCTCCTCCCTCTCTCCTCCTCACCCCCCCTTCACCCTCTCCTAGCCTCTCCCCCTCACTCCTCCTCACCTCCCCTCACCCTCTCCTAGCCTCTCTCCCCCTCACTCCTCCTCACCTCCCCTCACCCTCTCCTCCCCTCCTCACCCCTCTCCCCCCCCCCCCTCTCTTCTCCTCACCCTCCTCACTCCAGCACAATTCCGGAGACACAGGGGACATACAGTCACACACAGCAAGCTGCCCCCCAGCTGAGGAAAAACACAATTGCTTTCCTCAACAGACGACCCTCCATGGACCCAGATGCCCTCTGTCTTAAAAGGGAAAGGCACAGCGGTCCTTTCCATTCACCTTCTATAGTGAGACTAACAGGGCTAACTTTCTCATTCTGACTTAAAGGCACAATGAGTGACAATATGGGACTGGCAACAAAAGCTGTTTCTTTCACAAAAAATACCATGTTTTGTTTGTGAGGGAAATTTGTATTTTTAATAGGGATTAATTTGGAGTCTTTTATTTGGAGTCGTGCACACGCGTGTGTTAATGACGTCATTCTATCCTTCTTCAATTCAGTGATTGGATTGTGCAACCTCATGCTGCTCACCAAGGAAGTGGCACCGCAGAATGGTTCCTATAAGTGTGTGATTGATGATGATGAAACAAGATCTCACCAACTCACTGCAAAAACGGACGTCACGCTGGCGTCCATAAACCTGTTTGAGGTAAGTACAAGTTCCAATGCTTTATTGTGCCTTTAAATGTCAATTTAAAATATGAAATGCATCTTTGGCTTGACAAGGGTTTCAAAAATACAATGACTTGTAGAATTTCCGGTTAGAAAAATCCAGAAATTCCTCCAACCGGGATTTCGGGAAACCTGGGAATTTTGGGAAAGTTACCAGAATTGTGCAACCCAATGCTTGATATGGACGCAGTAGTTACAAGCACTGTCCACATAACATCACAATAATATGAAATGATTTGGAATATCTATGTGAGAATGCTGTTCATTGACTACAGCTCAGCGTCAACACCATTGTGGAGCAGGTAGACAGCTTCAAGTTCCTCGGTGTCCAAATCACTAAAGACTTCAAATTGTCCAGACACACACGACAGCTCCTCTTCCCCCTCAGGAGGTTGAAAAAGTTTGGCATGGGCCCTCAAATGCTGAAAAGGTTCCACAGCTGTACCACTGAGAGCATATTGACTGGCTGCACACACTGCTTGGAATGACAACAGCACCGCCCTCCATCGCATGGCGCTACAGAGGCTTGTGTGGACAGCCCAATACATCTCCGGAGCAGAGCTCCCTGCCATCCAGGACCTCTATACCAGAGCTCCCTGCCATCCAGGACCTCTACACCAGAGCTCCCTGCCATCCAGGACCTCTATATCAGAGCTCCCTGCCATCCAGGACCTCTATATCAGAGCTCCCTGCCATCCAGGACCTCTATATCAGAGCTCCCTTCCATCCAGGACCTCTATATCAGAGCTCCCTGACATCCAGGACCTATATATCAGAGCTCCCTGCCATCCAGGACCTCTATATCAGAGCTCCCTGCCACCCAGGACCTCTATACCAGAGCTCCCTGCCATCCAGAACCTCTATATCAGAGCTCCCTGCCATCCAGGACCTCTATATCAGAGCTCCCTGCCATCCAGGACCTCTATATCACAGCTCCCTGCCATCCAGGACTCTATACCAGAGCTCCCTGCCATCACAACCTCTATATCAGAGCTCCCTGACATCCAGGACCTCTATACCAGAGCTCCCTGCCATCCAGGACCTCTATACCAAGCTCCCTGCCACCCAGTACCTCTATATACCAAGCTCCCTGCCATCCAAAACCTCTATAACAGAGCTCCCTGCCATCCAGGACCTCTATATCAGAGCTCCACTGACCATCCAGGACCTCTATATCAGAGCTCCCTGCCATCCAGGACCTCTATATCAGAGCTCCCTGCCATCCAGGACCTCTATATCAGAGCTCCCTGCCATCCAGGACCTCTATATCAGAGCCCCCTGCCATCCAGGACCTCTATATCAGAGCTCCCTACCATCCAGGACCTCTATATCAGAGCTCCCTGCCATCCAGGACCTCTATATCAGAGCTCCCTGCCATCCAGGACCTCTATACCAGAGCTCCCTGCCATCCAGGACCTCTATATCAGAGCTCCCTGCCATCCAGGACCTCTATATCAGAGCTCCCTGCCATCCAGGACCTCTATATCAGAGCTCCCTGCCATCCAGGACCTCTATATCAGAGCTCCCTGCCATCCAGGACCTCTAACCAGAGCTCCCTCCATCCAGGACCTCTATATCAGAGCTCCCTGCCATCCAGGACCTCTATATCAGAGCTCCCTGCCATCCAGGACCTCTATATCAGAGCTCCCTGCCATCCAGGATCATGTTTACAGAACAGATATGGTTATCTACAACCCTAACCCCTCCGGTTGAACATAATATGTCATCTACAGTTTAACCCTATCCCCTCTGGTTGAACATAATATGTCATCTACAGTTTAACCCTATCCCCTCTGGTTGAACATACTATGTCATGTACAGTTTAACCCTATCCCCTCTGGTTGAACATACTATGTCATGTACAGTTTAACCCTATCCCCTCTGGTTGAACATACTATGTCATGTACAGTTTAACCCTATCCCCTCTGGTTGAATAAACTACTGCCTATTCAGGAAGTAAACTGAACATTCCGTTCCAATTCCTGTTTTCCTCAGTGACTCTCTATGAGGGTTTATGATTTGATCTTGGTACATTAGTTAGATGTGACCTCGGTACACATGCAGAAGCACACATAATATGTGATTTCATACAAAACAGTGCATTCGGAAAGTACTCAGACCCATTCACTTTTATACATTTCGTTACATTACAGCCTTATTCTAAAATGGATTACATTGTTTTTTTCCTTCATCAATCTACATACAATACCCCATAATGACAAAGCAAAAATAGGTTTTTAGATTTTTTTTGCAAATGTATAAAAAATGAAAACTGAAATATCACATTTACGTAAATATTCAGACCCTTTACTCAGTACTTTGTTGAAGCACCTTTGGCAGCGATTACAGCCTCAAGTCTTCTTGGGTATGACGCTACAAGCTTGGCACACCTGTATTTGGGGAGTTTCTCCCATTCTTCTCTGCAGATCCTCTCAAACTCTGTCATGTTGGATGGGGAGCATCGCTGCACAACTATTTTCAGGTCTCTATAGAGAATTTCGATCGGGTTGAAGTCCGGGCTCTGGCTGGGCTACTCAAGGACATTCAGAGACTTGTCCCGAAGCCACTCCTGTGTTGTCTTGGCTGTGTGCTTAGGGTCATTGTCCTGTTGGAAGGTGAACCTTCGCCCCAGTCTGAGGTCCTGAGCACTCTGGAGCATGGAGCAGGTTTTCATCAAGGATCTCTGTGTACTTTGCTCTGTTCATTTTTCCCTCGATCCTGACTAGTCTCCCAGTCCCTACCACTGAAAAACATCCCCACAGCATGATGCTTCCACCACCATGCTTCACTGTAGGGATGGTGCCAGGTTTCCTCCATATGTGACACTTGGCATTCAGGCCAAAGAGTTCAATCTTGGTTTCATCAGACCAGAGAATCTTGTTTCTCATGGTCTGAGAGTCTTCAGAGCTCTGTCAGAGTGACCATCGGTATCTTGTTCACCTCCCTGACCAAGGCCCTTCTCCCCCGATTGCTCAGTTTGGCCGAGCGGCCAGTTCTAGGTATATTCTTGGTGGTTCTAAACTTCTTCCATGTAAGAATGATGGAGGCCACTATGTTCTTGGGGACCTTCAATGCTGCAGAAATGTTTTGGTACCCTTCCCCAGATCTGTGCCTCGACACAATCCTGTCTCGGAGCTTAACGGACAATTCCTTTGACCTCATGGCTTGGATTTGCTCTGACATGCGCTGTCAATTGTGGGACCTTATAGACAGGTGTGTGCCTTTCCAAATCATGTCCAATCAATTTAATTTACCACAGGTGGACTCCAATCAAGTTGTAGAAAAATCTCAAGGATGATCAATGGAAACAGGATGCACCTGAGCTAAATTTCAAATCTCATAGCAAAGGGTCTGAATACTTATGTAAATAAGGTATTTCTGTTTTTTATCTTTAATACATTTGCAAAAATTTATAAAAACCTGTTTTCCCTTTGTCATTATGGGGTATTGTGTGTAGATTGATGAGGAAAATGTTTTATTTAATCAATTTTGGAATAAGGCTGTGACGTAACAAAATGTGGAGAAAGTGAAAGGGGTCTAAATACTTTCCGAATGCACTGTATTTACAAAATGTTTTAATGTACCTGAATTGATTGAATGGAAATTGAATTAACCCCAACCTTCCTTACCTCTTTCCCCATCCGTCCCAATGTGATGTGTCCCAGCTGGAGGCGATGGTGAGGAGGAACTGAGGGAACAGGATGACTCTGGTGGCTCTCTGCTCCACCACGCTGCTGGTGCAGGAAACATCCCTGTTATCAGGTTCATCTGCAGCAACACACACAGAGATGGTGAGGCGTCACACACACACACACACACAGACACAAGCACGCACGCACGCACACACACACACACAGACACGTACACGCATACACACACACAGCATCACAGCCAGCGATGGTGAGGCTCCCATCCTACAAGGACAAGAAGGCTGCCAGTATGATGTAGATTAACTTTAGTGAAATTGTTCCTTTTAATTTATTTAAAAAAAAAATGTTCTCATGTTTCCTCATCTTAATATATGTTTGTATGTGTGTGTGTGTGCGCACGCGCTTGAGTGTGTGTGTATGTGTATGTTATTATTATTGTTTTTTTATTATATATTTACAGTGTATATATATATTTTATTTGTCATTTAGCAGACGCTCTCATCCAGAGCGACTTACAGTTAATGAGTGCATACATTATTATTATTTTTTTTATTTTTATACTGGCCCTCCGTTTATGCGTCTGTCTATTAATTTGTGCGTCCTTCCTCTGTCTTCTCTTCCCAGAGGGGAACCTGTACGATGACGAGGGGTCTATGCCGCTGCACTGGGCTGTGCAGAGGAACCAATCAGAGAGCTGCAGGGCTCTGTTAGAGCTGGGGGCCGAACCCAACGTCCTCAACAAGGCCCTGATGTCACCGCTACACCTGGCGGTCAGCCAAACACACAATCATCTGGTCGAGGTGAGACACCATGATCCTTAGTTCCCCCCTGTAACCACTCCCCCCCAGCCTTCCCCTTCTCCTAAACAGCCTTGGGTCTCTCCTACACCTAGAGGTGAGCTACCCTTACCTTCCTTTCCTGCCCCACCAACTCCTCCAACAGCCCCTACTGCCTTACCATGGCCTTTTCATTCCGTCCTTGTCCTAAACCAGCGGTGTCAAAGTCATTTTGCCTCGGAGGCCACATTCGGTCTTCAACGAGGTCCAGAGGGCCGCACTGAAAATGACTTATATTTCCTCGCCATTAAAATTTGCAAAAAATAGTCCCCTGCCAGTTTGGGGAATATTTTTTTCTCCAGCTTTCTTAACTGTGCTTTTTGTATTTATTTTTGTATTTTACCAGATCTTAGATATTTTTATTTTACCAGGTAAGTTGACTGAGAAAACATTCTCAATTACAGCAACGACCTGCGGGATACTTACAGGTATGGAGGAGGGGGGATGTCACGTTTGTTGAATGACGGGTCAGACCAAGGCGCAGCGTGATATGCGTACATGTTTATTAACATAATAAACAACACGACAAAACAACAAAGGAAACGAAACATAAAGTCCAAGGTAGTACAGAACAACAAACCTTACACGGAACAAGATCCCACATCTAGACAGTGCCACTAGGCTGCCTAAGTATGGTCCCCAATCAGAGACAACGAGCGACAGCTGCCTCTGATTGGGAACCACACCGGCCAACATAGATCCACACATACTAGATCCTATAACATAGAACAAGCACAACAAGGAATATACACACCCTGACTCAACATATAAGCGTCCCCTGAGTCAGGGCGTGACAGGGGATGAATGAGCCAATTGGAAGATGGTGATTATTAGCGCACTGGATACAGTCAATAAACTGTATGAATTTAGCTCCATTATCATTTCTACACAGTTCTGTAGTTGATATTAAAATTATGTGCAATAATATAAAACTGCATTCATCAATCTGAGTCCATTATGATGTGAATAAATGCTATAGGCCATAAACGTATGCTGATGAATCTAGCCAGTTTGGGAGTCTACGCAGCAACGCTCGGACACTATAATGACATTTGTTCTAAGATACCTTTATGGTATTATTAAGAGGCTTATGGGACTTACAGTGCCTTGTAAAAGTATTCATCCCCCTTGGCGTTTTTCCTATTTTTGTTGCATTACAACCTGTAATTTAAATAGATTTTTATTTGGATTTCATGTAATGGACATAAACATAATAGTCCAAATTTGTCACGGTTTCGGCCGAGGCTGCTCCTCCTCCTTGCTCGGGCAGGTTTCGGCGGTCGTCGTCCCCGGAGTACTAGCAGCCACCGTTGTATGTTTCATGTTCGTTTGGTTTTGTCTTGATGTTGTACACCTGTTTCTAGTTAGTCTTCATTAGTGTCCTATTTAGTTCTCGTTGTGTGTGTCAGGTGTTGTGTGTGATTACGCTTCTGTTTGGTGTTCTGTGCTACGTGTTTCCCTCCGTTGTTTGGAGAGGTTTTCGCACATGTTAGTGCGCCTATTGTTTGACGCCTGTGTGCGCCTTTATTTCGCCTCCGGGCTTGTTGGGCTCGTGTACTATGTGAATATTTCACTAAAGTCTTTTGGACTTTGTTTCTGCGTCCTGCGCTTGATTCCTGCACCACACCCACCTTCAGCACCCGTGACAAAATTGGTGAAGTGAAATGAAAATAATAACTTATTTCAAAAAATTCAAAAAAATAAATAACGGAAAAGTGGTGCGTGCATATGTATTCAACCCCCTTTGCTATGAAGCCCCTAAATAAGATCTGGTGCAACCAATTACCTGCAGAAGTCACATAATTAGTTAAATAAAGTCCACCTGTGTGCAATCTAAGTGTCACATGATCTGTCACATGATCTCAGTATATATACACCTGTTCTGAAAGGCCCCAGAGCCTGCAACACCACTAAGCAAGGGGCACCATGAAGACCAAGGAGCTCTCCAAACAGGTCAGGGACAAAGTTGTGGAGAAGTACAGATTAGGATTAGGATTGGGTTGTAAAGAAATATCAGACATTTTGAACATAGGGCCACCTACCAAAACTCACGGACCAGGCAAGGAGAGCATTAATCAGAGAGGCAACAAAGAGACCAAAGATAAGGAGCTGAAGGAGCTGCAAAGCTCCCCAGCGGAGATATGAGTGTCTGTCCATAGGACCACTTTAAGCCATACACTCCACAGAGCTGGGATTGCTGTGGCCAGAAAAAAGCCATTGCTTAAAGAAAAAAAGAAGCAAACATGTTTGGTGTTCGCCAAAAGGCATGTGGGAGACTCCCCAAACACATGGAAGAAGGTTCTCTGGTCGGATGAGACTAAAATGTAGCTTTTTGGCCATCAAGGAAAACGCTATGTCTGGTGCAAACCCAACACCTCTCATAACCCCAAGAACACAATCCCCACAGTGAAGCATGGTGGTGGCAGCATCATGCTGTGGAGATGTTTTTCATCGGCAGGGACTGGGAAACTGGTCAGAATTTAAGGAATGATGGATGGCGCTAAATACAGGGAAATACTTGAGGGAAATCTGTTTCAGTCTTCCAGAAATTTGAGACTGGGACGGAGGTTCACCTTAATAATAAATAATATGCAATTTAGCAGACGCTTTTATCCAAAGCAACTTACAGTCATGCGTGCATACATTTTTGTGTATGGGTGGTCCCGGGGATCAAACCCACTACACTAGCGTTACAAGTGCTGTGCTCTACCAGCTGAGCTACAGAGGACAATGACCCTTCCAGCAGGACAATGACCCTAAGCATACTGCTAAAGCAACACTCGAGTGGTTTAAAGGGAAATGTCTTGGAATGGCCTAGTCAAAGCCCAGACCTCAATCCAATTGAGAATCTGTTGTATGACTTAAAGATTGCTGTACACCAGCGGAACCCTTCCAACTTGAAGGAGCTGGAGCAGTTTTGCCTTGAAGAATGGGCAAAAATCCCAGTGGCTAGATGTGCAAAGCTTATATACCCCAAGAGACTTGCAGCTGTAATTGCTGCAAAAGGTGGCTCTACAAAGTATTGACTTTGGGGGGGTGAATAGTTATGCACGCTCAAGTTTTCTTTTTTTTGGCCTTATTTCTTGTTTGTTTCACACAAAAAAATACGTTGCATCTTCAAAAGTGTTAGGCATGTTGTGTAAATCAAAGGATACAACCCCCCCCCCCCAAAATCAATTTTAATTCCAGGTTGTAAGGCAACAAAATAGGAAAAATGCCAAGGGGGGTGAATACTTTCGCAAGCCACTGTATGAGCTGTCTATAGCTATTATAGTCCATACATCTTAGCCAGAGATGTAAAGTTTGAACCTGTGCATAATCTAATGCTAAGTGTATAGTGTAGATAACATAACCAATATACTCTAATGCTAAGTGTCTTCAGAATAACATGGCTTCACATGTCTTCAGGATAACCTCTAAATGTGTCTGATAATCACAGGAGGCTTGAGGATACAAGATTATCAAACATAAAAAGAGATTAAATAACCTAAATAACCTATCAATCTAAAACTATGGCCTTACACCAGGAGATTGCATTGCAGCGTCTCCATGAACAAAGTTTCAACGCCTCTTTTATTCTTCCAGAGCACCAAACCTCAGTATCTAATTAACATCACTTTGCTTAAAAACATCACACTCATTCTTGAACCTAATCATCACAACTCTTTTCTAAATGATTGGAGTGCACATCTGTGTCGCTCCCTCTTTGAACTGACCACCATCTGACAAACAGAATAACGCAGTAACTCTGTATAAAGGAATCCATACCACTTTCAGTACAATAAAACATATAAGAATGTGTAGCTCTTTATGAACTCTTTTTGAAACAAAACCAAACAAGACAATTTAATTCACACGGTAAAACAAATTTAGTCAATTCAACTTTTCATCTGTCTTCACAGCTCCAGTGGTGTCCATGGATAATGTGTGTTTGACTCTTGTGTTAGCCAACATACAGTATGGTCAGCCATCTGGACAATGTCATTAATGGTGATTGAGTCAAGTCAAATCCAATCAAATTGTATTAGTCACACGCGCCGAATACAACAGGTGTAGAACCTACAGTGAAATGCTTACTTACAAGCCCTTAACCAACAATGCAGATTATAGAAAAATAAGTGTTCAGTAAAAAATAGATAACTAAAAAATAACAAATAAGGGAGTCAATATACAGGCTATATACAGGGGGTACCGGTACAGAGGCAATATACAGGCTATATACAGGGGGTACCGGTACAGAGTCAATATACAGGCTATATACAGGGGGTACCGGTACAGAGTCAATATACAGGCTATATACAGGGGGTACCGGTACAGAGTCAATATACAGGTTATATACAGGGGGTACCGGTACAGAGGCAATATACAGGCTATATACAGGGGGTACCGGTACAGAGGCAATGTGCACCGGTTAGTCGAGGTAATTGAGGTAATATGTACATGTGGGTAGAGTTAAAGTGACTATACATAGATAATGTCCAGCGTCGTCCAGGGTAGGGGAGGGAATGGCCAGCAGGGATGTAGCTCAGTTGGTAGAGCATGGCATTTGCAACGCCAGGGTTGTGGGTTCGATTTCAGTATGAAAAAATAAATAATAATGTATTACAGACTCACTAAGTCTGTAAGAAGTCACTCTGGATAAGAGCGTCTGCTAAATGACTAAAATGTAAAACATTTAATAATAAACAGAGTAGCAGCAGTGTAAAATAGGGTGTGGGGAGGACAATGCAAATAGTCCGGGTAGCCATGATTAGCTGTTCAGGAGTCTTATGGCTTGGGGGTAGAAGCTGTTAAGAAGCCTTTTGGACCTAGACTTGGCGCTCCGGTACTGCTTGTCGTGCGGTAGCAGAGAGAACAGTCTATGACTAGGGTGGCTGGAGTCTTTGACAATTTTTAGGGCCTTCCTCTGACACCGCCTGGTATAGAGGTCCTGGATGGCAGGAAGCTTGGCCCCAGTGTTGTACTGGGCCGTATGCACTACACTCTGCCTTGCGGTCGGAGGCAGAGTGGTTGCCAAACCAGGCAGTGATGCAACCAGTCAGGATGCTCTCGATGGTGCAGCTGTCTAACTTTTTGAGGATCCGAGGACCCATGCCAAATCTTTTCAGTCTCCTGAGGGGGAATAGGCTTTGTCGTGCCCTCTTCACGACTGTCTTGGTGTGTTTGGACCATGATAGTTTGTTGGTGATGTGCACACCAAGGAACTTGAAGCTCTCAACCTGCTCCACTACAGCCCTGTCGATGAGAATGGGGGCGTGCTCGGTCCTCTTCTTTTTCCTGTAGTCCACAATAATCTCCTTTGTCTTGATCACGTTGAATGAGAGGTTGTTAACCTGGCACCACACGGCCAGGTCTCTGATCTTCTCCCTATAGGCTGTGTCATTGTTGTTGGTGACCAGGCATACCATGGTTGTGTCATCAGGAAACTAAATGATGATGTTGGAGTCGTGCCTGGCCATGCAATCATGGGTGAACAGGAAGCACAGGAGGGGACTGAGCACGCACCCCTGAGGGTTCCCCATGTTGAGGAGCAGATGTTTTGTTACCTACCCTTACCATCAGGAAGACCAGGATCCAGTTGCAGAGGGAAGTGTTTAGTCCCAGGGTCCTTAGCTTAGTGATGAGCTTTGAGGGCACTATGGTGTTGAACGCTGGTCTTTAGTCAATGAATAGCATTCTCACGTAGGTGTTCCTTTTGTCCAGGTGGGAAAGGGCATTGTGGAGTGCAATAGAGATTGTGGATCTGTTGGGGTGGTATGCAAATTGGAGTGGGTCTAGGGTTTCTGGGATAATGGTGTTGATGTGAGCCATGACCAGCCTTTCAAAGCACTTCATGGCTACAGACGTGAGTGCTACGGGTCTGTAGTCATTTAGGCAGGTTACCTTAGTGTTCTTGGGCACAGGGACTATGGTGGTCTGCTTGAAACATGTTGGTATTACAGACTCAGTCAGGGACAGGTTGAAAATATCAGTGAAGACACTTGCCAGTTGGTCAGCGCATGCTCGGAGTACATGTCCTGGTAGTCCATCTGGCCCTGCGGCCTTATGAATGTTGACCTGCTTAAAAGTCTTATTCACATCGGCTACGGAGAGCGTGATCACGCAGTCGTCCAGAACAGCTGATGCTCTCATGCATGCTTCAGTGTTGCTTGCCTCGAAGCAAGCATAGAAGTAATTTAGCGCGAATGGTAGGCTTGTGTCACTGGACAGCTCGCGGCTGTGCTTCCCTTTGTAGTCTGTAATAGTTTGCAAGCCCTGCCACATCCGACGAGCATCAGAGCCGGTGTAGTACGATTCAATCTTAGTCCTGTATTGACTCTTTGCCTGTTTGATGGTTCGTCGGAGGGCATAGCGGTATTTCTTATTAGCGTCCGGGTTGGAGTCCCGCTCCTTGAAAGCGGCCGCTCTACCCTTTAGCCTGTTGCTTCCTTCTTTAGTGTTTGCATGTAAGCAGGAATCAGGAGGATATAGTTATGGTCAGATTTGCCAAATGGAGGGCGAGGAAGAGCTTTTTACGCGTCTCTGTGTGTGGAGTAAAGGTGGAGTTTTTTTTTTCTCTTGTTGCACATTTAACATGCTGGTAGAAATTAGGTAAAACAAATGTAAGTCTCCCTGCATTAAAGTCACCGGCCACTAGGAGCGCCGCCTCTGGATGAGCGTTAAACTGTTTGCTTATGGCCTTATATAGCTCTTTGAGTGCGGTCTTAGTGTCAGCATCAGTTTGTAGTGGTAAATAGACAGCTACGAAAAATATAGATGAAAACTCTCTTGGTAAATTATATACTCTACCTCAGGCGAGCAAAACCTCGAGACTTCCTTAGTATTTGATTTTGTGCACCAGCTGTTGTTTACAAATTTAAACAGACCGCCACCCCTTGTCTTACCGGAGTCAGCCGTTCTATCTTGCCGATGCAGCGTATATCCCGCCAGCTGTATGTTATGTCGTCGTTCAGCCACGACTCGGTGAAACATAAGATATTACACTTTGGTAAGATATCCGTGATTGTAGTTTGTCTATTTTGTTATCCAATGATTGCACGTTGGCTAATAGGACTGATGGTAGAGCCAGATTACCCACTCGCGGTCGGATCCTTACAAGGCACCCCAACCTACATCCCTGATATCTCTGTCTCTTTCTCCTGCGAATGACAGGGATTTGGGCCTTGTCGGGTGTCTGAAGAAAATCCTTCGCGTCCGACTCCTTAAAGAAAAAATCTTTGTCCAGTACGAGGTGAGTAATCACTGTCCTGATATCAAGAAGCTTTTTTCGGTCATAAGAGACGGTGGGCTGGCGCAAGTTTCACCTTATATCATTCCCACATACACTACCGGTCAAAAGTTTTAGAACACCAGTGAAGACATCAAAACTATGAAATAACACATATGGAATCATGTAGTAACCAAAAAATGGTTAAACAAATCAAAATATATTTTATATTTGAGATTCTTCAAATAGCCACCCTTTGCCTTGATGACAGCTTTGCACACTCTTGGCATTCTCTCAACCAGCTTCACCTGGAATGCTTTTCCAACAGTCTTGAAGGAGTTCCCACATTTGCTGAGCACTTGTTGGCTGCTTTTCCTTCACTCTGCGGTCCGACTCATCCCAAACCATCTCAATTTGGTTGAGGTCGGGGGATTGTAGAGGCCAGGTTGTCTGATGCAGCATTCCATCACTCTCCTTCTTGGTCAAATAGCCCTTACACAGCCTGGAGGTGTGTTGGGTCATTGTCCTGTTGAAAAACAAATGATAGTCCCACTAAGCCCAAACCAGATGGGATGGCGTATCGCTGCAGAATGCTGTGGTAGCCATGCTGGTTAAGTGTGCCTTAAATCCTAAATAATTCACAGACAGTGTCACCAGCGAAGCACCCCCACACCATAACACCTCCTCCTCTATGCTTTACGGTGGGAAATACACATGCGGAGATCATCCGTTCACCCACACCGTGTCTCACAAAGATACGGCAGTTCGAACCAAAAATCTCAAATTTGGACTCCAGACCAAAGGACAAATGTCCATTGCTTGTGTTTCTTGATCCAAGCAAGTCTCTTCTTCTAATTGGTGTCCTTTAGTAGTGGTTTCTTTGCAGCAATTCGACCATGAAGGCCAGATTCACACAGTCCCCTCTGAACAGTTGATGTTGAGATGTGTCTGTGACTTGAACTCTGTGAGGTGCAATCTGAGGTGCAGTTAACTCTAATGAACATATCCTCTGTAATGTAGAAAATAGTAAAAATAAATAAAAACCCTTGAATGAGTAGGTGTGTCCTATATTTTGACTCATTCAAGGGTATTTTCTTACCTGGCTGTTGAAAATTAGTGTGTGGGCCACTCTGGAGGGTACGATGCATCCGATAACCCAGAGCTAAGGGACAATGGATGTGAATAGATATGGATGGATGAATGTAACCGATTAGGTCACCATGGATAGAGACAAGCGAGAGCATCTGGCGAGATTGTGGGTCACTCTGGTGGGTAGGAGGCGTCTGGTAACCCAGGGTTGTGCCAGAGTAAAAGGACAATGGATGTGGCTTCCCAAACAGAATCTGGTCACCCAAAGCCAAGCTTGGATAAAGAGGTTAAAGGTTAAAGAGGCTGAGCCCCCCTGGCTCTAGGACTGTTGTCTGGGATACAGTGTATCCATACCAACAGTCCCTGTGACAGGGAGTAGAAAGAGACAAGTACAGGTATGTATCACAGAGGTTTCATTAATCATTCATGTGTTGTTGTTGTTTACCCAGCTGCTGTTGGCGAACAAAATACAATTTCATTAATTCATTCATGCATTCATTAATTCATATCACATAAGGTTTCATTATTAATTTGTTTGTGTGTGTGTGTTGTTTCTGCCAGCTCCTGTTGTCTCACTATAAGACAGAGTCTAACCTAGAAGGAAGTCTGGGCAACACTCCTGTAACGTTAGCCTGCTCCATCAATAATACTGACGCTCTCTCTATACTGGTGAGCGGAACATTATATGCCCATTATAAGGCATTATAAAGGACGTTATAAAGCATTGTACATACTTCATTGAAAGTGTTATAAAAATCAAGTAATATAGGCTTAAGTGTTTAAGTGTACATAGCCTGTTGTACAATTCATGTCAAATAATATTCAATAATCCTGTTTTTACGAGAGAATGTATACAAATATGTGTATAATGTTTATAACCAAGAGTTAGAATAATGCAAATAGCTTTCAGTCTCTCCTATGTAATATAATATATAATATAATATAATATATCATATATCATATAGATGTTATGCATATGGTGTTATTAACTGTCACAATTAACTGTCACAAAACTGTTACCAATGCTTTGTGTCAATGCTTTATTAAAACTCCTGACTCTTTCCTGACGTGTCCTATTCCCTGTTCTGTAGCTGAAGCACGGGGCGCGGCTCTCCAGTCAGAACAAACTGGGCCAGTACGCTATCCATGCAGCCACCTTCGCAGGCTCAAAGAAAGCCATGGATGTCATCCTTAAAGCTGGTATGATGAGGAGAATAAAGGATTGCATTTATACAGGATGCAACACTTATCTATGGGTATAAAAGCACTTTACTATTGTAAGTTTCCCCTCACCCGTCACTAGTAGTCCCCTGTAGCTCAGTTGGTAGAGCATGGCGCTTGCAACGCCAGGGTTGTGGGTTCGTTTCCCACGGGGGGGGGCCAGTATGAAAAATGTATGCACTCACTAACTGTAAGTTGCTCTGGATAAGAGTGTCTGCTAAAATGTAGCTGCCTGGTCCCAGATCTGTTTGTGATTTTGTCAATTCCATTCCTGTCCTTGTCAAGCCAAACATGTTAGCATGATAGCACAAAAAGGCTGGTACTCAGGCTAATCCTTTACCAATATTACCATCTTTGTCAAAATCAAATCAAATCAAATTTTATTTGTGACCGACCGGCTTATGTAGCAAAATTTGAAATTGTGTTTTTTACATTGGCTAAAAGTAGAGACTCAGAGCTAGAAATGTGTACATCAGACAGTACAGTTGAGGAACAATGGGAATGTAATTCTGCTTTGAAAGTTGATAAATATGTAACCTCACTTTTGATAAAATGGCCCTTGAACGTTTTGGTCACCTACTGGAGAGCTCTTCTTTGTCTACACCCATTCAGCATTGTTTACACCCTCTTAAGCTTTAGCCCCACTCAGCTATTTAAGGATTCACATGTGAGGCCATGTACAAAACAACCAAAGATTTCAAGACTAAAGGCTGGTTTATACTACGGGTGTGTTTTACTCACCCTAGCAGAGCTGGTTAGGCTGCTTTTATGTTATCCAGAGCCGTTGGTTACTGCAACTGTGCTGCTGGCAACAATTTAATTACGCTTTTTTGCCAATGTTTACTGACACCGGCCATATTCAACGGGTGTTGAGTGTTCGTAAATTCGTCAGTTATTCTGCGCTCTGGCACACTCAGACAAGTGCTCTGAAATCCGAGTAGATAGCCAGAGCGAATACCAGCTACGTCTATCGACAGTTGTCGCAGTGACATCATGAACATTCTATTGAAATGGTTACTTGCATAGTGTAGTCTTTTGTTTAGACATGTAGCTAGCTAGCTAAACAATGAACCATAATCCCAACTCATAACGTTACTACCCTGCATGAATCTGCTTTGTAGCTAACCAACCAGGTTCAATGTTAGCTAGCTAGCTAACATTAGGCTATAACTAGCAATGCAAATGGCTCTGAGATACGAATAATATTACTACACAGATCATAAACGTAACGTTAGTTAGCGAGCCAGCCAGCTACCGTTAGCTAGCTAGCTAACAGTACGTTTGAACTTTAAATAAAAACGACTTTCTGACTAAATTTGAAATGTGTAACATCTGAAAATGTAGCTAGCTAGAGTATCTTACCCGTATTCATGGATGGACGCTTCTCCCTCTCTGTCACGGATGCCATGGTTGCCCTTAGTTTGAAGATGTAATCCAGAGACAGGTGTTTTATACAACAGCCTTCTGTGTGTTCTCTTTTCGACTCTGTCTGCATATTTGGAATCAAACGCCAGAATTTTCTCCACCTCCTTAGCTATCATACTCTAATTCCACCGTGCATTCCACTGATTTCAAAACTTGGTCCTCCAGAAAGTGGAGAGCAACACCTTTGCAGTTCTACTACGTGATATCTTTCAAAAAAGCGGTGTTAGAAAGGAATACCTATACATACTGACCAGCTCATGTTATAGACAGAAGCGAGCTACATGGCAGACCAATCCGAACTCATCTCTTGGCATGTCCAGCCTATCCATTATCTCAGCCAATCATGGCTAGCGAGAAGGTTCCTGTCTTTTTCTGTGGCTAAGCCAACTACACTCGTAATTTAACAATTGTATTCGTATTTACAGATGGCATACAAGTTTGTTATTAAGGCACATGAAAATTCACATGTTCCAGAAGGCATTTCTGCCAAAAAATGCATTTTGATAAACAAAAAAAGTTTATGTTCAAATGCCTCTCCTGTGAAGTAGTGGAGCGCGACATACGCCTAGTTTCCTGAAATAAGTCACATTTGTGTACAGCTTCTTATTGGTCGATTCTGATACTTTCTTAGTGGGAAAATCACACCAAATGTTCCTACAACAAGTTTCCAACTCGGAAATGTCAGAGTTTTCAAGTTCTCTTGAACACGGCATGATACACAGTGGCCATTTTGTGTCAATATACAGCATATTTGTGACTGATACAGGGGAGCCATTTTGTGCCTAAATGGTCATCCGGGGAGCCACACAAATTAGAGACCGCAGCACAGACACACTGTTTACCTGGGAGGTCTGCAGCTGAGTAATACATAACAGGACACTGATGTGTTTAGTACAACAGCTAAATATTTGTGAAGCTTCTGTCGTTGTCAGTTTTGGGCCAAATGGGCATTCACATTCTTTAGGCCAGGCCTAGCCAGATATCCACAGATGGCATGACTAAGGGGAAATGAGTTGAGTTAGAAGACTCACATGTTCGTTCACTTGTCACCCTAGTTTACATTACACTGTGAAACCAAACACAGCAAAGTTTGGAGTTATTCATTTGAACAGGATACACCCTAATGCTTTAGAGATTCAACTCAATACATCTGTCCACTTAGGTCTCAATAGTCCTCTCCTCTCCTCTTGATACTTTTTCAAGATGAGGAGACGAGGAGAGGAAACCACTTTAGATTATTGAGATGAACCCTCTGCATCTAGCATCCTGTCCAGGGGGTGTACTTGTACATACATCTGCCTGTGTGTGTGTGTGTGTGCTGTCCAGGAGAGGAGATGGGTCATTCCATAGAGGAACACATTAACTTCCTGGATAAGTCGTGCAGCAGTCCACTTCACCTGGCAGTCATTGGAGGCAACAAGGACATCATCGAGTTCTGCATCCACAAAGGAGCCAAGATCGACCAGCAACAGGTACATTAAGACAGGGGATCATGTGGTTGTTTCAGTCACCATTATTTGAATAAATATAGGCCTACTACAGCCACATTTAAGTCAGTCTAAATACAATAAATGTGACCGATCGGCTCGGTTCAGCGTTATGCAGCAACATTTTAAATTGTGTTTTTTACATTGGATAAAAGTAGAGACCCAGAGCTAGAAAATGGCACATCATACACTACAGTTGAGGAACAATGGGAAAGTAATTCTGCTTTGAAAGTTCATAAACTTGTAACCCCACTTTTGTGAAAATGGCCCTTGAATGTTTGGGTACACCTACTGGAGAGCTCTTCTTTGTCTACACCCATTCAGCATCGCTCACACCCTCTTAAGCCCCACCCATCTCTTTAAGGATTCACATGTGAGGCCATGTGGTAAACGGACGCTATATCAAATAAAATCTAAGTTTATTTGTCACATGCACAGGATACAGAAGGTGTAAACCGTACACTGAAATGGTTACTTGCATAGTTGATGGGTCATGTGAAGGAAATGCTATAACCATCCCCCAGCCACATCTAGCTAAGTGGATGGGTCACTATTGTCTAGACATGTACACATGTTCATGAAATACAATAGATGGCCATAATCACCACCAGACACACCTGGCTAATTTGATGGGTCATGTAATAATCCGGCCGAAGCGGAGTCTTTTGTTTAGACATGTACAGTGCCTTTGCATAAGTATTCATCCCCCTTGGCGTTTTTCCTATTGTGTTGCATTACAACCTGTAATTTAAATGGATTTTTTTTTGGATTTCATGTAATGGACATACACAAAATAGTCCAAATTGGTGATGTGAAATGAAATAAATTACTTGTTTCAAAAAATTATGAAGAATAAATAACGGAAAAGTGGTGCGTGCATATGTATTCACCCCCTGTGCTATGAAGCCCCTAAAAAGATTTGGTGCAACCAATACCTTCAGAATTCACATAATTAGTTAAATAAAGTCCACCTGTGTGCAATCTAAGTGTCACATGGTCTCAGTATACAGTGGGGAAAAAAGGTATTTAGTCAGCCACCAATGTGCAAGTTCTCCCACTTAAAAAGATGAGAGAGGCCTGTAATTTTCATCATAGGTACACGTCAACTATGACAGACAAATGGAGAGAGAAAAAAATCCAGAAAATCACATTGTAGGATTTTTAATGAATTTATTTGCAAATTATGGTGGAAAATAAGTATTTGGTCACCTACAAACAAGCAAGATTTCTGGCTCTCACAGACCTGTAACCTCTTCTTTAAGAGGCTCCTCTGTCCTCCACTCGTTACCTGTATTAATGGCACCTGTTTGAACTTGTTATCAGTATAAAAGACACCTGTCCACAACCTCAAACAGTCACACTCCAAACTCCACTATGGCCAAGGCCAAAGAGCTGTCAAAGGACACCAGAAACTAAATTGTAGACCTGCACCAGGCTGGGAAGACTGAATTTGCAATAGGTAAGCAGCTTGGTTTGAAGAAATCAACTGTGGGAGCAATTATTAGGAAATGGAAGACATACAAAATGATCACAAGGACGGTGAGCAAAAATCCCAGAACCACACGGGGGGACCTAGTGAATGACCTGCAGAGAGCTGGGACCAAAGTAACAAAGCCTACCATCAGTAACACACTACGCCGCCAGGGACTCAAATCCTGCAGTGCCAGACGTGTCCCCCTGCTTAAGCCAGTACATGTCCAGACCCGTCTGAAGTTTGCTAGAGTGCATTTGGATGATCCAGAAGAGGATTGGGAGAATGTCATATGGTCAGATGAAACCAAAATATAACCTCTTAGTTGCATCCAAAGAACACCCTACCTACTGTGAAGCTTGGGGGTGGAAACATCATGCTTTGGGGCTGTTTTTTCTGCAAAGGGACCAGGATGACTGATCCGTGTAAAGGAAAGAATGAATGGGGCCATGTATCGTGAGATTTTGAGTGAAAACCTCCTTCCATCAGCAAGGGCATTGAAGATGAAACGTGGCTGGGTCTTTCAGCATGACAATGATCCCAAACACACCGCCCGGGCAACGAAGCAGTGGCTTCGTAAGAAGCATTTCAAGGTCCTGGAGTGGCCTAGCCAGTCTCCAGATCTCAACCCCATAGAAAATCTTTGGAGGGAGTTGAAATTCCGTGTTGCCCAGTGACAGCCCCAAAACATCACTGCTCTAGAGCAGATCTGCATGGAGGAATGGGCCAAAATACCAGTAACAGTGTGTGAAAACTTTGTGAAGACTTACAGAAAACGTTTGACCTGTGTCATTGCCAACAAGGGGTATATAACAAAGTATTGAGAAACTTTTGTTATTGACCAAATACTTATTTTCCACCATAATTTGCAAATAAATTCATAAAAAATCCTACACATGTTCTGAAAGGCCCCAGAGTCTGCAACACCATTAAGCAAGGGGCACCACCAAGCAAGCGGCACCATGAAGACCAAGGAGCTCTCCAAACAGGTCAGGGACAAAGTTGTGGAGAAGTACAGATCAGAGTTGGGTTATAAAAAAATATCTGAAACTTTGAACATCCCACAGAGCACCATTAAATCCATTATTAAAAAATTGAAAGAATGTTGCACCACAACAAACCTGCCAAGAGAGGGCCACCCACCAAAACTCACGGACCAGGCAAGGAGGGCATTAATCAGAGAGGCAACAAAGAGACCAAAGATAACCCTGATGGAGCTGCAAAGCTCCACAGCGGAGATTGGCGTCTCTGTCCATAGGATCACTTTAAGCCGTACACTCCACATAGGCTGGGCTTTACGGAAGAGTGGCCAGAAAAAAGCCATTGCTTAAAGAACAAAATAAGCAAACACATTTGGTGTTTGCCAAAAAGCATGTGGGAGACTCCCCAAACATATGGAAAAAGTTACTCTTTTTGGCCATCAAGGAAAACGCTATGTCTGGCGCAAACCCAACACCTCTCATCACCCTCGAGAACACCATCCCCACAGTGAAGTATGGTGATGGCAGCATCATGCTGTGGGGATGTTTTTCATCGGCAGGGACTGGGAAACTGGTCAGAATTGAAGGAACGATGGATGGCGCTAAATACAGGGAAATTCTTGAGGGAAACCTGTTTCAGTCTTCCAGAGATTTGAGACTGGGACGGAGGTTCACCTTCCAGCAGGAGTTAGTTCCAGCAATAGTTATGCATGCTCAAGCTTTCTGTTATTTTTGTCTTATTTCTTGTTTATTTCACAATAAAAAATAGTTTGCATCTTCAAAGTGGTAGGCATGTTGTGTAAATCAAATGATACATGTAAGGCAACAAAATAGGAAAAATGCCAAGGGGGGTGAATACTTTCGCAAGCCACTATAGATAGCTAGGTAGGTAGCTAGCTAGCTAAACAATGAACTGGCATAATCCCAACTCATACTACTACCAATACAAACATTGTCATAGCTGTAGTATGAATCTGCAGGCAGCTAAAGCTAACAAACTAGGTTCAATGTTAGCTAGCTAACATTAGGCTATAACTAGCAATGTAAATTGATTTCTGATTCAAATAATATTACTACACATATCTACATATCTACTACACTTAACATTAGCTAACGAGCCATCAAGCTAACGTTCACTAGCTAACTAACAGTATGCTTTAACTTACAATAAAAACGACTTTCTGACAAAATTAGAAACGTACATGTGAAAACGTAGCTAGACTCTTACCCATATACATGGATGAATGCTTCACGGCAGACTGGAACCATTTAACTCTGTTTTGTTTGTAGCTACATCTTGTTTGGACAGCGTTGTGTCAATCATGGCTAGTGGAAAGGTTCCTCTCTTTTTCCGTGGCTAAACCAACTAGGCTCGTAATTTAACAATTGTATTCATATTTATGGATGGAATACAAGTTTGTTATTAAGGCACATGAAAGTTTACATGTTCCAGATGACATTTCTGCCCCAAAAACGCATTTTGATAAAAAATACATGTTCACGTTCAAATGCCTCTCCTGTGAAGTAGTGACGTGCGACATGTGCCTAGTTTCCTGAAACGAGTCACAAATCATCCAAAAGTTTCCCCAATGTATTAGCTACCACACGGACGATTAGAATCATAAAGATTCTTGGGTTTGTGCTAATTATTTCTCTCACGTTTGAAAAATTATTTTAAATAGAATCGTATTTACAGTAGGGGCTTTTCTTTTGTGCACATGTAGACCACTTTGTAGGCAAGGGATCTGCTTATGGTCTTCTTAGGAACTTCAAATGGCTTACTCACAGACAGACACAGTGTGCATCCCAAATGGCACCCTTTTCCCTATATAGTGCACTACTTTTGACCAGGGCCCTATGTGCTCTGGTCAAAAGAGCACTTTAAATGGAAAAGGGTGCCATTAAGGACTGAACTCCAGTTCAGATGCAGGAGCAGAAGTCTAGAGAGTGCAGACCGACAGTAATAGCCCCAGATAGATTGATACTAATAACCTCCACTCACTGTATTTAACTGACCTCCACTTACTGTATTTAACTGACCTTCACTTACTGTATTTAACTGACCTCCACTTACTGTATTTAACTGACCTCAACTTACTGTATTTAACTGACCTTCACTTACTGTATTTAACTGACCTCCACTCACTGTATTTAACTGACCTCCACTTACTGTATTTAACTGACCTTCACTTACTGTATTTAACTGACCTCCACTTACTGTATTTAACTGACCTCAACTTACTGTATTTAACTGACCTTCACTTACTTTATTTAACTGACCTCCACTCACTGTATTTAACTGACCTCCACTTACTGTATTTAACTGACCTCAACTTACTGTATTTAACTGACCTTCACTTACTGTATTTAACTGACCTCCACTCACTGTATTTAACTGGACCTCCACTTACTGTATTAACTGACGCTCAACTTACTGTATTTAACTGACCGTCACTTACTGTATTTAACTGACCTCCACTCACTGTATTTAACTGACCTCCACTTACTGTATTTAACTGACCTTCACTTACTGTATTTAACTGACCTCCACTTACTGTATTTAACTGACCTCAACTTACTGTATTTAACTGACCTTCACTTACTTTATTTAACTGACCTCCACTCACTGTATTTAACTGACCTCCACTTACTGTATTTAACTGACCTCCACTTACTGTATTTAACTGACCTCAACTTACTGTATTTAACTGACCTCCACTTACTGTATTTAACTGACCACCACTTACTGTATTTAACTGACCTCCACTTACTTTTTTACATTTCTGTGTCTGCAATTCCGTGATACACTTAACCAGCGTGTGTGTGTGTGTGTGTGTGTGTGTGTGTGTGTGTGTGTGTGTGTGTGTGTGTGTGTGTGTGTGTGTGTGTGTGTGTGTGTACTGTACTCCAGGTGGACCGGTCCACAGCGCTTCACTTTGCCTGTTCCCAGGGAGCTACAGAGGCTGTTAAACTGATGCTGTCCTCCTACAGCAGACAGGACCGCATCATTAACCTGCCTGATGGAGCCAGCCAGACACCTTTACACAGGTGGGAGAGTTTGTTCATTCATTCATTCATTCATTCATATATTTGTTCATTCATTCATTCATTTGAATGTTATTTAGTTCATATATTTATTAGACTCATGAAGTGATCCATGATAACCAGACATCCTAGACATTCCATTCTATTGTGAACAGAACCAAACACGGTTCAGGAGTCAGGACAATGTTTGCTCGTGACAAAGGTTGTGTTTACAAATGAACCATTAATCATAGTGTAAGGGTGGTGACCTCACAACTGGCCTAATACCTACGGTGCGTCCCAAATCACACCCTATTCCCTATTTAGTGCACTACTTTTGACTAGAGCCCTAGACCACGTGTAACCACGCCATCCCAGGACCCCCACATCCGGCTTCTTGACCTTTGGGATCGTCTGAGGGGGGGGGGCCTGGCTCCCAAAGTGGGTGGATCTATGCCCTCCCAGGTCCACCCATGGCTGCACCCCCGCCCAGTCATGTGAAATCCATAGATTAGGGCCTAATTTATTCATTTCAATTGACTGACTTCCTTATATGAACTGTAACTCAGTAAAATCTTTGAAATTGATGCATGTTGCGTTTATATTTTTGTTGAGTATATTAATTGGGCAGAGGGCAGTGTAAGCAAACAAAATACTGTTTATAGCTGTGATATAATGCATGTTATTTTTCCAGGGCAACTATATTTGATCACACAGAGTTGGCGGAGTACCTCATTTCAAAGGTAAATACAGTACATAAGCACACACACACACACACACACACACACACACACACACACACACACACAAACACACACACCAGAGTTGGCGGACACCTAATTTCAAAGGTAAACACACTACAAGAATATTGCCCACGAACTATTCCATATAAGGTGCCGGTTTGAGCCACTGCAACTGTATTGTAATATCTACATCCCAAATGGCACCCTATATCCTACACGGTGCACTACTTTTGACTAGGGCCTATGGGACCTGTTTGGCCAGGGAACTGGTCAAACGTAGTGCACTATATAAGGAATAGGGTGCCATTTGGGACTCAAATGTATTGAATTCTGTGTTGACAGGGTGCAGACATTGACTACCTAGACTGTAAGGGTCTTTCCCCGCTGCTGCTGGCTACTAGCTGTGGAGCATGGAGAACAGTGGCTCTTCTGCTCTCCAAAGGTCAGCTTTTACAGATTCAGAGATTCAGAGTGTTTAATAGTACAGGGTTGCAGGTGTGATTGCAGGGCACATTAACTGTATTCAAACATCAACATGTCTGTGGATCAAAACTGAGGTTTTGACGTGTGTGTCTGTGTGTCTGTGTGTGTGTGTGTTTGTTTGTCTTTTTAAGGTGCCAACGTGAACATAAAGGACAAATCTGGATGTAACTTCCTCCACCTGGCCATCCTGCAACCCAAAGGCCTCAAAAACCTTGCAGGAGACATCTTACAGGTAGATGATGTCCAATGGTAGTAGTGCTTGGAAAGGTATGTTGTTACGGAAACTTAAGTTTAGGAATAGGGGTTGAAATTCATTACGGTTAGGGTTAGGAACGAGGGTTACGTTAAGGGTTAGGAACCAGGGTTACGTTAAGGTTCGGCGCGGGTTAGGAACCAGGGTTACGTTAAGGGTTAGGAACCAGGGTTACGTTAAGGTTCGGCGCGGGTTAGGAACCAGGGTTACGTTAAGGGTTAGGAACCTGGGTTACGTTAAGAGTTAGGAACCAGGGTTACGTTAAGGTTCAGCGCTGCAGTGGAGTCCATGTTACAGACATTTGTGTGTTCTAAGGCAGTTTTTTTTTGCCGTTTTTCCACTACCATGACATTCTGGCTTATACAGACATTTCTGTAATAGGCACCATCAAGTTTTAGGTTAATTGATTCACCACACTGTCAGCTACAAGAACTATAATGTCATAACATTTTGAGACACTTAAATGAGTGATAATAATAATAATAATTAGGTGCCTACATTTGTCCTATTGCACACCCTAGGAGAGTAGGGTCAGAGCCAGGGATCAGCCATTATTGACGGCGACCCTGGAGTAATTAGGGTAAAGTGCCTTGCACGGACAGATTTTTCACCTAGTCGGCTCGGGGATCTGAACCAGCGACCTTTCGGATACTGGCCCAACGCTCCTAACTGCTAGGGTTACCTGTCGCCATAAAGGCACAACAATCTAAAAACGCACGTTGAAATTCTTTGTTTTTTTATTTTACTTTCCAGGACATAGACATGTTTTATATGGGCAGAAAGCTTAAATTCTTGTTAATCTAATTGCACTGTCCAATTTATAGTAGCTATTAGAGTGAAAAAATACCATGCTATTGTTTGAGGAGAGTGCACAACAACAAAAAACGTATCACGGCAACTGGTTTGATACATTCACCTCTGAAGGTAAATAATGTACTTACATTCAGTAATCTTGCTCTGATTTGTCATTCTGAGGGTCCCAGAGATAAAATGTAGCATCGTTTGTTTGATAAAATCAATTTTTATATTCAAATGTAGGAACTGGGTTCTACAGTTTGAACCCCTGCTGTCTCTGGCTCCACACCCACCCACCCGGCCATCTAGATGTGTTAAACTTATTGTATGAGCTAATGATCCATCATGTATGACATTCCTGGGAGTGTGTAAACTTACATTTTGTATTACCTTATCATTTTTGTATGTTCTCTATAGTCATGTACTTGAAAATGTCCAGTATTGCAAAGCTTCACTGGATCAATCGTTTCCCACGTGGGGAATAAAATAATGTATGCACTCACTAACTGTAAATTGCTCTGGATAAGAGCGTCTGCTAAATGACTAAAATGTAAACGTAAATCAATTTGAAACTTTGCCTACACACTTCTGCCATCTAGTGGCCAAAATCAAAATTGCGCCAAAACTGCAATATTATATTGTGGCCTTTCTCTTGCATTTCAAAGATGATGGAACAAAGAAATAAATAGAAAACCCATGTTTTTTTGTCTGTATTATCTTTTACCAGATCTAATGTGTTATGTTCTGCTACCTTACTTTCACATTTCCACAAACTTCAAAGTATTTCCTTTCAAATGGTATCAGGAATATGCATATCCTTGCTTCAGGTCCTGAGCTACAGGAAGTTAGATTTGGGTATGTCATTTTAGGTGAAAATTGAAGAAAAAAAACGAGGTAAGAGGTTAATCCATTTTAGAACAAAATGTGGAAAAAGTCAGGGGGTCTGAAAACATTACAAATGCACTGTATATATAATGTCTATATATATGCAGAGTCTGTTGTATGTGATGTAGCAGTTGGTCACAGCAGAAGAAGAAGATGGCTGCCGTTTTACAGCCCTCTAACCAATTGTACTATTATGTGTGTTTTTCCGCGTTATTTGTAATTTATTTTGTACATAATGTTTCTGCCATCGTCTCTTATAACCAAAAAGAGCTTCTGGATATCAGGACAGCGATTACTCACCTCGTATTGGACGAAGATTTTTTCTTCAACGAGGCGGCCGCGAAGGATATCATACAGACACCCGACAAGGCCCAAATCCCCGTCATTCGCGTGAGGAAGAGACGGAGATATCGTGGACGGAGATCGGGGTGCCTTGTAAGGATCCGACGGCGAGCGAGTAAACTGCCTCTTCCATCAATCCTATTAGCCAACGTTCAATATTTTGAAAATAAAATGGACGATTTAAGATTACGGTTATCCTACCAACGGGACATTAAAAACTGTAATATCTTATGTTTCACCGAGACGTGGCTGAACGACGACAATGATAACATTCAGCTAGCAGGCTATACGCTACATCGGCAGGACAGAACGGCTGACTCCGGTAAGACAAGGGGTGGCGGTCTGTGTATATTTGTAAACAACAGCTGGTGCACAAAACCAAATACTAAGGAAGTCTCGAGGTTTTGCTCGCCTGAGGTAGAGTATCTTATGATAAGCTGTAGACCACACTATTTACCAAGAGAGTTTTCATCTATATTTTTCATAGCTGTCTATTTACCACCACAAACCAATGCTGGCATTAAGATTGCACTGAATGAGTTGTACAAGGCCATTAATCAACAGGAAAACGCTCATCCAGATGCAGCGCTCCTAGTGGCCGGGGACTTTAATGCAGGGAAACTTAAATCCGTTCTACCTAATTTCTACCAGCATGTTAAATGTGCAACCAGAGGGAAAAAAACTCTAGACCACCTTTACTCCACACACAGAGACGCATACAAAGCTCTCCCTCGCCCTCCATTTGGCAAATCTGACCATAACTCTATCCTCCTGATTCCTGCTTATAAGCAAAAACTAAAGCAGGAAGCACCAGTGACTCGGTTAATAAAAAAGTGGTCAGATGACGCAGATGCTAAGCTACAGGACTGTTTTGCTAGCACAGACTGGAACATGTTCCGGGATTCTTCAGACAGCATTGAGGAGTACACCACATCAGTCACTGGCTTCATCAATAAGTGCATCGATGATGTCGTCCCCACAGTGACCGTACGTACATACCCCAACCAGAAGCCATGGGTTACAGGAAACATCCGCACTGAGCTAAAGGGTAGAGCTGCCGCTTTCAAGGAACGGGACTCTAACCCGGACGCTTATAAGAAATCCCGCTATGACCTCCGACGAACCATCAAACAGGCAAAGAGTCAATACAGGTCTAAGATTGAATCGTACTACACTGGCTCTGACGCTCGTCGGATGTGGCAGGGCTTGAAAACTATTACAGACTACAAAGGGAAGCACAGCCGCGAGCTGCCCAGTGACACAAGCCTACCAGACGAGCTAAACCACTTCTATGCTCGCTTCGAGGCAAGCAACACTGAAGCATGCATGAGAGCACCAGCTGTTCCGGATGACTATGTGATCATGCCCTCCGTAGCCGATGTGAGTAAGACTTTTAAGCAGGTCAACATTCACAAGGCCGCAGGGACAGACAAATTACCAGGACGTGTACTCCGAGCATGCGCAGACCAACTGGCAAGTGTCTTCACCGACATTTTCAACATGTCCCTGACTGAGTCTGTAATACCAACATGTTTCAAGCAGACCACCATAGTCCCCGTGCCCAAGGACTCTAAGATAACCTGCCTAAATGACTACCGACCCGTAGCACTGACGTCTGTAGCCATGAAGTGCTTTGAAAGGCTGGTCATGGCTCACATCAACAGCATTATCCCAGAAACCCTAGACCCACTCCAATTTCCATACCGCCCCAACAGATCCACAGATGATGCAATCTCTATTGCACTCCACACTGCCCTTTCCCACCTGGACAAGAGGAACACCTACGTGAGAATGCTATTCATTGACTACAGCTCAGCATTCAACACCATAGTGCCCTCTAAGCTCATCACTAAGCTAAGGATCCTGGGACTAAACACCTCCCTCTGCAACTGGATCCTGGACTTCCTGACAGGCCGCCCCCAGGTGGTAAGGGTAGGTAACAACACATCTGCCACACTGATCCTCAACACGGGGGCCCCTGAGGGGTGCGTGCTCAGTCCCCTCCTGTACTCTCTGTTCACCCATGACTGCATGGCCAGGCACGACTCCAACACCATCATTAAGTTTGCCGACGACACAACAGTGGTAGGCCTGATCACCGACAACGATGAGACAGCCTATAGGGAGGAGGTCAGAGATCTGGCCGTGTGGTGCCAGGACAACAACCTCTCCCTCAACGTGACCAAGACAAAGGAGATGATTGTGGACTACAGGAAAAAAAAGAGGACTGAGCACGCCCCCATTCTCATCGACGGGGCTGTAGTGGAACAGGTTGAGAGCTTCAAGTTCCTTGGTGTCCACATCACCAACGAACTATCATGGTCCAAACACACCAAGACAGTCGTGAAGAGGGCACGACAAAGCCTATTCCCCTTCAGGAGACTAAAAAGATTTGGCATGGGTCCTCAGATCCTCAAAAAATTCTACAGCTGCACCATCGAGAGCATCCTGACTGGTTGCATCACCGCCTGGTATGGCAACTGCTTGGCCTCCGACCGCAACGGCACTACAGAGGGTAGTGCGTACGGCCCAGTACATCACTGGGGCAAAGCTTCCTGCCATCCAGGACCTCTATACCAGGCGGTGTCAGAGGAAGGCCCTCAAAATTGTCAAAGACTCCAGCCACCCTAGTCATAGACTGTTCTCTCTGCTACCGCACGGCAAGCGGTACCGGAGTGCCAAGTCTAGGTCCAAAAGTCTTCTCAACAGCTTCTACCCCCAAGCCATAAGACTCCTGAACAGCTAATCATGGCTACCCGGACTATTTGCACTGCCCCCCCACCCCATCCTTTTTACGCTGCTGCTACTCTGTTAAGTATTTATGCATATGTCACTTTAACTCTACCCACATGTACATATTACCTCAACTACCTCAACTAGCCGGTGCCCCCCGCACATTGACTCTGCAACGGTACCCTCCTGTATATATAGCCTCCCTACTGTCACTTTATTTTTACTTCTGCTCTTTTTTTCTCAACACTTTTTTTGTTGTTGTTTTATTTTTACTTTTTTTGTCTAAAATAAATGCACTGTTGGTTAAGGGCTGTAAGTAAGCATTTCACTGTGATGTCTGCACCTGTTGTATTCGGCGCATGTGACCAATAAAATTTGATTTGATTTGATTTGAAATGAAGAAAAAATAAGGTTTTGTGGTGCACAGAGTAGTACTGTAGTGTCCATCCACCTAGTAAAGAGGAGGTTGACATCTCTGATCATACCCAAATGTCTCCCGAGTGGCGCAGTGGTCTAAGGCACTGCATCGCAGTGCTAGCTGTGCCACTAGAGATCCTGGTTCGAATCCAGGCTCTGTCGTAGCTGGCCGCGACCGGGAGACCCATGGGGCGGCGCACAATTGGCCCAGCGTCGTCCAAAGTAGGGGAGGGAATGGCTGGCTGGGGATGTTGGTTTGCAACGCCAGGGTTGTGGGTTCGATTCCCACGGGGGGGGGGGCCAGTATGAAAAAATAAAAAAATATAAAGTATGCACTCACTAACTGTAAGTCGCTCTGGATAAGAGCGTCTGCTAAATGACTAAAATGTAAATGTAAAACCCCAGTGGGGTGGTTGGTTGGTCTGGATCCTGGACTTCCTGACAAGTCGCCCCCAGGTGGTAAAGGTAGGGAACAACACATCCGCCGCGCTGACCCTCAACACGGGGGCCCTTCTCTACTCCCTGTTCACCCACATTAAGTTAAGTTTGCTGACGACACGACATGGTTGGCCTCATCACCGATGACGATGAGACAGCCTATAGGGAGGTCAGTGACCTGGCAGCGTGGTGCCGCGAAAACAACCTCTCCGTCAACATCAGCAAGACAAAAGGAGCTGATCGTGGACTACAGGAAACAGAGGGCCGAGCACGCCCCCATACACATCGCAGTTGAGCGGGTCGAGAGCTTCAAATTCCTTGGTGTCCACATCACTAAGGAATTATCATGGTCCACACACATCAACTGTGGTAAAGAAGGCATGACAACACCTCTTCCTTCCAGGAGGCTTAAAAGATTCGGCATGGGCGCACAGATCCTCAAAAAGTTCTACAGCTGCACCATTGAGAGCATCTTGACTGGCTGCATCACTGCCTGGTATGGCAACTGCTTTGCATCCGACCGCAAAGCGCTACAGAGGGTAGTGCGTACGGCCCAGTACATCACTGGGGCCAAGCTTCCTGCCATCCAGGACCTCTATACCAGGCGGTGTCAGAGGAAGGCCCTAAAAAGTGTTAAAGACTCCAGCCACCCAAGTCATAGACTGTTCTCCCTGCTACCGCACGGCAAGCGGTACCAATGCACCAGGTCTGGAACCAACAGGACCCTGAACAGCTTCTGCCCACAAGCCATAAGACTGCTAAATGGTTAGACAAATTGTTGACCAATAGCCATCCGGACTATCTGCATTGACTCTTTTTGCACAAAACTCTTATGACTCGTCACATATGCTGCTGCTACTGTTTATTATCTATCCTGTTGCCTAGTCACTTTATCCCTACCTATATGTACATACTGTATCTTCCTCAATTACCTCGTACCTCTGCACATTGACTCTGTACTGGTACCCCGTGTATACAGCCAAGTTATCGTTGCTCATTGTATATTTTATTCCTCGTGTTATCATGTTTCTGTTATTTCTCTCTGCATTGTTGGGAACAGAACATGAGTAAGCATTTCACTGTTAGCCTACACCTGTTGATTACGAAGCAAGTGACAACTACAATTTTATTTGATTTAGATACTGTATAGTTTCACTGAGGTTATGGTTCAGCCCAGTCAAAACTGTTCGCTGCTCTGGCACCCCAATGGTGGAACAAGCTCCCTCACGACGCCAGGACAGCGGAGTCACTCACCACCTTCCGGAGACATTTGAAACCCCACCTCTTTAAGGAATACCTGGGATAGGATAAAGTAATCCTTCAATCCCCCCCCCCCCCCCCCCCCCCCCCAAAAAAAAATAAAAAAATAAAAAAAACTATTGTAAAGTGGTTACCCCACTGGCTATAGGGTGAATGCACCAATTTGTAAGTCGCTCTGGATAAGAGCGTCTGCTAAATGACGTAAATGTAAATGGTTGGCAAGGAGGGTTACGTTAAGCGACTAGACTAGTTTTCGAGGTTAGGGAAAGGCATAAACGTTAACGGTGGGATAGCGTACCGCTTTCCGCCACCATTCATTTTCTTGCCAGCTACAAGTACACTGCCAATTGTTATTAAAGATATTTGTTATGTTCTCTCTACCTCTACAAACCATTATGAGTCTGTTCCTAGAGTCCAATAGTGTGTATCCCAAATGGCACACTACACCTTTTATAGTGCACTACTTTTGACCAGAGCTGGTAAAAAAAGTAGTGCACTATAAAGGGAATAGGACGGGCACCAAGGCTGACTGTTGAACTGTATTACCATCTCTCCAAGGCTGACTGTTGAACTGTATTACCATCTCTCCAAGGCTGACTGTTGAACTGTATTACCATCTCTCTGAATGTTGAACTGTATTACCATCTCTCCAAGGCTGACTGTTGAACTGTATTACCATCTCTCTGACTGCTGAACTGTATTACCATCTCTCCAAGGCTGACTGTTGAACTGTATTACCATCTCTCCAAGGCTGACTGTTGAACTGTATTACCATCTCTCCAAGGCTGACTGTTGAACTGTATTACCATCTCTCCAAGGCTGACTGTTGAACTGTATTACCATCTCTCCAAGGCTGACTGTTGAACTGTATTACCATCTCTCTGAATGTTGAACTGTATTACCATCTCTCCAAGGCTGACTGTTGAACTGTATTACCATCTCTCTGACTGCTGAACTGTATTACCATCTCTCCAAGGCTGACTGTTGAACTGTATTACCATCTCTCCAAGGCTGACTGTTGAACTGTATTACCATCTCTCCAAGGCTGACTGTTGAACTGTATTACCATCTTCTTTGTGCCAAATCATAGTTTATTAAAACCATTTAGAGCTTTGCCAAGCGTCTCCGGCCAGGCCAGAATGAAGCAGAGATAATAGACTTCAGCTGACCCTTCAGGGTGGCAGAGAGCATCTGTCTATCTGCTCTTGGGAAGTCAGGGATCAAGTGTGTGTGTGTGTGTGTGTGTGTGTGTGTGTGTGTGTGTGTGTGTGTGTGTGTGTGTGTGTGTTTGTACTGTTTTCTTACACGTGTCCCCCCCCCCCCCCCCCCCCCCCCCCTGCAGCACAGCAGTGTGAAGGATCTGTTGAGTACTGAGGACAATGAGGGCTGCACTCCGCTCCACTACGCCTGCAAACTGGGCATCCACCACTCTGTCAACAACATCCTGGTTCCACAGGTCTCTCTGGAGCGCAAGTCCAAGGACAAGAAGTCTGCCTTACACTTCGCTGCCCAGTGAGTGGTGCTATTAATAGGGTAACATACTAGGCCAAATCTTCACTGCCCAGTCAGTGGTGTTATTAATAGGGTAACATACAAGGATGATCTTCACTATCCTGTCAGTGGCGTTATTAATAGGGTAACATACTATGCTAATATACATTTAGCTGATGCTCTTCTCTGCAGCTCCACAGTGACTGGTTTCAGCCAAACTTGCCTTTAATAGCCATTAAAGGTCAAAAGTTTTGAGATTGACACAAGTATTGGTCTTCACAAAGTTTGCTGCTTCAGCGTTATGAGATATTTTTGTCAGATGTTACTGTGGTATACTGAAGTAGAATTACAAGCATTCCATAAGTGTCAAAGGCTTTTATTGACAATTACATTGAGTTTATGCAAAGAGTCAATATTTGCAGTGTTGACTCTTCTTTTTCAAGGCCTCTGCAATCCTCCCTGGCATGCTGTCAATTAACTTCTGGGCCACATCCTGACTGATGGCAGCCCATTCTTGCATAATCAATGCTTGTAGTTTGTCAGAATTTGTGGGTTTTTGATTGTGCACCTGCCTCTTGATGGTTGAACACAAGTTCTCAATGGGATTAAGGTCTGGGGAGTTTCCTGGCCATGGACCCAAAATGTTGATGTTTTGTTCCCCGAGCCACTTAGTTATCACTTTTGCCTTATGGCAAGGTGCTCCATCATGCTGGAAAAGGCATTGGTCGTCACCAAATTGTTCTTGGATGGTTGGGAGAAGTTGCTCTCGGAGAATGTGTTGGTACCATTCTTTATTCATGGCTGTGTTCTTAGGCAAAATTGTGAGTGAGCCCACTCCCTTGGCTGAGAAGCAACCCCACATAAGAATGGTCTCAGGATGCTTTACTGTTGACATGACACAGGACAGGATGGTAGCGCTCACCTTGTCTTCTCCGGACAAGGTGTTTTCCGGATGCCCTAAACAATCGGAAAGGGGATTCATCAGAGAAAATGACTTTACCCCAGTCCTCAGCAGTCCAATCCCTGTACCTTTTGCAGAATATTAGTCTGTCCCTGATGTTTTTCCTGGAGAGAAGTGGCTTCTTTGCTGCCCTTCTTGACACCAGGCCATCCTCCAAAAGTCTTTGCTTCACTGTGCATGCAGATGCACTCACACCTGCCTGCTGCCATTCCTGAGCAACCTCTGCACTGGTGGTGCCCCGATCCCGCAGCTGAATCAACTTTAGGAGACGGTCCTGGCGCTTGCTGGACTTCCTTGGGCGCCCTGACGCCTTCGTCACAACAATTGAACCTCTCTCCTTGAAGTTCTTGATGATCCGATAAATGGTTGATTTAGGTGCAATCTTAATAGCAGCAATATCCTTGCCTGTGAAGCCCTTTTTGTGCAAAGCAATGATGACGGCACGTGTTTCCTTGCAGGTAACTATGGTTAACAGAGGAAGAACAATGATTTCAAGCACCACCCTCCTTTTTAAAGCTTCCAGTCTGTTATTCTAACTCAATCAGCATGACAGAGTGATCTCCAGCCTTGTCTTCGTCAACACTCTCAGCTGTGTTAACGAGAGAATCACTGACATGGCAGCTGGTCCTTTTTTGGCAGGGCTGAAATGCAGTGGAAAAGTTTTTTGGTGATTATGTTCATTTTCATGGCAAAGAGGGATTTTGCAATTCATTACAATTCATCTGATCACTCTTCATGACATTCTGGATTATATGCAAACTGCCATAATCAACACTGAGGCAGCAGACTTTGTGAAAATTAGTATTTGTGTCATTCTCAAAACTTTTGACCACGACTGTAGTTTACAAACAAATTTCTGTGCAGGGAGTCTATCATTTATTTTGTACACTATCCAAAACCATTATTTGATATTGTCTTTAGTGGCTAATATTTTTCTAATCTCCTATGAAATTGATCTAAAAGAATGGAGAAGAGATCATAAATCCCACTGTATTGCTTTCATCTATTCTGTCTTTCCAGCTCAGCACAGGTGAAGGGGAGGAGGCCACTTTAGACGATTGACACCCATAGAGCTCGGTGGTGTCCCAAATGGCAAGCGGCACCGGAGTGCCAAGTCTAGGTCCAAAAGACTTCTCAACAGCTTCTACCCCCAAGCCATAAGACTCCTGAACAGCTAACCATGGCTACCCGGACTATTTGCACTGCCCCCCCACCCCATCCTTTTTACGCTGCTGCTACTCTGTTAATTATTTATGCATAGTCACTTTAACTCTACCCACATGTACATATTACCTCAACTACCTCAACTAGCCGGTGCCCCCGCACATTGACTCTGCAACGGTTCCCCCCTGTATATATAGCCTCCCTACTGTCACTTTATTTTACTTCTGCTCTTTTTTTTCTCAACACTTTTTTTTGTTGTTGTTTTATTTTAACTTTTTTTGTTAAAAATAAATGCACTGTTGGTTAAGGGCTGTAAGTAAGCATTTCACTGTAATGTCTGCACCTGTTGTATTCGGCGCATGTGACCAATAAAATTTGATTTGATTTGATTTGATTTGGTGCCCTATTCCTTGTAAAGTGCACTAAGGCTCGGGTCAACAATAGTGCACTATATAGGGAACAGGGTGCCATTTGGGACAGTCTTCATCTCTGATTCATTACATCTAGGTGAAACCTAACGAGTCTGATTTGATCATTAACCAATGTATTAATAATACACAATGGAGTGCTTGCTACAGTGGAATCCAATTAAGGAATAAACATGTAATGGAATGCTCCTGATAGTGTGAAATGAGGGGACATTAGCCAATATTAATTGTTTGATGATGTATTTTACAACACTGATCATTCCCTGAATTAGACAAGTGAAACAAGTTGCATTCAGTGATACCTTAGCCTCAAGCCCTGTATCACTTATACTGAACGATAAACCACAGGGTCAAATCCTCCTCCTCCTCATCCTCCAACCCAACCTCTTCCTATAGTTGGTATAGTAGGTATGGTAACATACCTGTTGTTGTAGTTGGTGCAGTAGGCCTTTCACTCTTCTCTCTTTTCCTCCTCCTCTTACTCCATCCATTCCTCTTCCTCTTCCTCCTCATCCTCCTCATCCTCCTCATCCTCCTCCTCTTACTCCATCCATTCCTCTTCCTCTTCCTGTTCCTCCTCATCCTCCTCCTCTTACTCCATCCATTCCTCTTCCTCTTCCTGTTCCTCCCCTCCTCGTCCTCCTCCTCTTACTCCATCCATTCCTCTTCCTCTTCCTGTTACTCCCCTCCTCGTCCTCCTCCTCTTACTCCATCCATTCCTCTTCCTCTTCCTGTTCCTCCTCATCCTCCTCATCCTCCTCCTCTTACTCCATCCATTCCTCTTCCTCTTCCTGTTACTCCCCTCCTCGTCCTCTCTCTCCTCCAACACACATTTTGCTCCTCTCTCCTGTCTCAGGTATGGTCATATACAGATGTAGGATCTTAATTTGATCACTCTGTTGCTGGATAACTTTCCTGCAACGCAGGAAAAGTAAAACGTGCAGTGTATTTGAGGTTTAAAAAGGCATCTGAAGTTTGTAATTTCCACATTGAAATTTCAGACTTGATTTTCCCTCACAAAAAATGTATCAACCCCTACAAAAATGGCCATGAATTACACCTTCCTAATATTGAGTTGCACCCCTTTTGCCCTCAGAACAGCCTCAATTCGTCGGGGCATGGACTCTACAAGGTGTCGAAAGCAGTCCACAGGGATGCTGGCCAATGTTGACTCCAGTGCTCCCCACAGTTGGCTGGATTTCCTTTGGTTGGTGGACCATTCTTAATACACACGGGAAACTGTTGAGCGTGAAAAACCCAGCAGGGTTGTAGTTCTTGACACACTCAAACCGGTGTGCCTGGAACCAACTATCATACCCCGTTCAAAGGCACATCAATATTTTGTCTTGCCCATTCACCCTCTGAATGGCACACATACACAATACATGTCTCAATGTCTCAAGGCCTGTCTCCTCCCTTTCATCTGCACTGATTGAAGTGGATTTAACAGGTGACATCAATAAAGGATCATAGCTTTCACCTGGAGTCACCTGGTCAGTCTATGCCATGGAAATAGCAGATGTTCCTAATGTTTTGTACACTCAGTGTATAATCAACATAATCATTTCCTGTTGCTGCAGGATTATTTTCCTGCTGGAGCAAACTTTAAGATCCTACATCTGTTGTATTAACACCAGGTACACCCATAACCCTCCTCTCCTCTTCCGTCTCATCAGGTATGGTCATATTAACACCAGGTATACCCATAACCCTCCTCTCCTCTTCCGTCTCATCAGGTATGGTCGTGTCAACACCTGCCAGCGTCTGCTGGAGACCATCCCAGACTCCCGCCTGCTGAACGAGGGGGACGAGAGAGGCTTGACCCCGCTACACCTGGCCTCTGGAGGGGGACACACCAAGGTGGTGGACCTGCTGCTTCGTAAAGGAGCCCTCTTTCGCTGGTACCAACACTAACAACATCTGTACATTAATAGGCCTACTGTTCATAGTTATGAAGACAGTTGCTCTGGTTTTTTGGCACGTATTTTCAAATCAAATCAGATGTTATTTGCCACATGCGCCGAATACAACAGGTGTAGACATTACAGTGAAATGCTTACTTACAAGCCCTTAACCAACACTGCAGTTTATGACAATTTTTTAAAAAGCAAATATTTAAAGAGCAGCAGTAAAATAAAATAACAGTAGGGAGGTTATATACAGGGGGTACCGGTACAGAGTCAATGTGCGAGGGCACCGGTTAGTCGAGGTAATTGAGGTAATATGTACATGTGGGTAGAGTTAAAGTGACTATGCATAACTAATTAACAGAGTAGCAGCAGCGTAAAAGGATGGGGTGGGGGGGCAATGCAAATAGTCTGGGTAGCCATGATTAGTTGTTCAGGAGTCTTATGGCTTGGGGGTAGAAGCTGTTAAGAAGCCTTTTGGACCTAGACTTGGCGCTCCGGTACCGCTTGCCATGCGGTAGCAGAGAGAACAGTCTATGACTAGGGTGGCTGGAGTCTTTTTAGGGCCTTCCTCTGACACCGCCTGGTGTAGAGGTCCTGGATGGCAGGAAGCTTGGACCCAGTGATGTACTGGGCCGTACGCACTACCCTCTGTAGTGCCTTGCGGTCAGAGGCCGAGCAGTTACCATACCAGGCGGTGATGCAACCAGTCAGGATGCTCTCGATGGTGCAGCTGCATAACTTTTTGAGGATCTGAGTACCCATGGCAAATCTTTTCAGTCTCCTGGGGGGGAATAGGCTTTGTCGTGCCCTCTTCACGACTGTCTTGGTGTGTTTGGACCATGATAGTTTGTTGGTGATGTGGACACCAAGGAGCTTGAAGCTCTCAACCTGTTCCACTACAGCCCCGTCGATGAGAATGGGGGTGTGCTCAGTCCTCTTTTTTTCCCTGTAGTCCACGATCATAATTGGGTCTCTAACTGTTTGCAACCCACATTCAAGTCAATCTGTAAATATTGTCTTAGGAGTTGGGTCACCAACATTTCTGTAAATGTCCCAAAAGTCCCTGGTTATCCAGAAATCCCAGTTGGAATATTACTAGAATCAGGAGGGAATAAACAGAAAATCTGGCAATTCTTCAACCAGGATTTATGGGAGACCTGTGAATTTTGAGGAAGTTAGTTGACCATAGAAATAGAATGAATAGAACTGGTGTCCCCATTTAAGTCAATGATGGCATAATGGGTTGACTGGCGGTGTCACGATCGTCTACGAGAGAGGACCAATGCGCAGCGTTGCAGGCACACATACTCTTTATTGAGTGAAAACACGATCAAAACAAACAAAGACGGTAACGTGACAGTTCACGGTGAAACTAAACCAACTAGAAACAAGAACCCACAAAACCAAAGGAAAAACCGACAGATTAAATATGGCTCCCAATCAGAGACAACCAGCCGACAGCTGACACTCGTTGCCCCTGATTGGGAGTCACACCGGCAAACATAGAAAATAGACAACCTAGAACACCCACCAAAGAAACAGAAAACATAGAATGAACACACCCTGGCTCAACATAATGAGTCCCCGAGCCAGGGTGTGACAGGCGGCCATTGCAGTTACCCATAACTCTGAGTATGGCAAACTGCATACTTGGAGTGTGTCTGAAAGTGGGCATTGCAAAAGAAGTGGGTGGATCAATAGTGATCGGTGTGACATCAGTGGGTGGATCAACAGTGATCGGCGTGACATCAGTGGGTGGATCAACAGTTATGTGTGTGACATCAGTGGGTGGATCAACAGTGATCGGTGTGACATCAGTGCTCCATTCTTGGTTAGACCGGCCATAGCCAGGTGCACCGCAGGTCAGCTTAATATTTATATAATAGGTTAAGAGAACTAACGTAGCAGGTTACATTTACATTTACGTCATTTAGCAGACGCTCTTATCCAGAGCGACTTACAAATTGGTGCATTCACCTTATAGCCAGTGGGATAACCACTTTACAATATGTATTTTTTTTTTTGGGGGGGGTGGGGTAAGGGGGGGTAGAAGGATTACTTTATCCTATCCCAGGTATTCCTTAAAGAGGTGGGGTTTCAAGTGTCTCCGGAAGGTGGTGAGTAACTCCGCTGTCCTGGCGTCGTGAGGGAGCTTGTTCCACCATTGGGGTGGCAGAGCAGCGAACAGTTTTGACTGGGCTGAGCGGGAACTGTGCTTCCGCAGAGGAAGGGGAGCCAGCAGGCCAGAGGTGGATAAACGCAATGCCCTCGTTTGGGTGTAGGGACTGATCAGAGCCTGAAGGTACGGAGGTTGCCGTTCCCCTCACAGCTCCGTAGGCAAGCACCATGGTCTTGTAGCAGATGCGAGCTTCAACTGGAAGCCAGTGGAGTGTGCGGAGGAGCGGGGTGACCTGAGAGAACTTGGGAAGGTTGAACACCAGACGGGCTGCGGCATTCTGGATGAGTTGTAGGGGTTTAATGGCACAGGCAGGGAGCCCAGCCAACAGCGAGTTGCAGTAATCCAGACGGGAGATGACAAGGGCCTGGATTAGGACCTGTGCCGCTTCCTGTGTAAGGCAGGGTCATAGAAGGTTAGGATAATTAACGTGGCATGTTAGGAGAATGAGGTTAAGGTTAGGAAAAGGGTTCGCTAAAATGCTACAGTTGTCAACAATCGACTCGTTGTGCAGCCCAATCAGCCTCTCAAAACAGTTGAGTGGCAACAAATCTGCCCAGTTAGCTGATTCGCTTTCCATACACCCACTTCTGTTGACAAGCCCACTTCATTTGAACAAACATTCTACATTACCACGGAAATGATTGCATCACAATACCAGGCAGCCATTGGGACTTTACCCATGAGTTCACCAGTCAAACAGCCAGGGTTAGGGGCTCCAGTCTCCATTCTATGCATTTGATTTCTACAGTTGCAACCCCACATAGGAGGATGTCAGTGTGATATTGTAACTAAGTCCTGCTGTATTTGTCCTCAGTGCTGTCTGTATGTCTGTCTCTCTATTCCTTAGTGATTACAAAGGGTGGACCTGTCTACACCATGCCGCGGCGGAGGGGTACACTCGGACCGTGAAGATCGTCCTGGCAACCAACATCAAACTACTGGACAAGCTGGACGAGGATGGGGTTCGGACAACCTTTATGTTTCATTCAGACTACCTTTATGTTTCATTCAGACTACCTTTATGTTTCATTCAGACAACCTTTATGTTTCATTCAGACCACATTTATGTTTCATTCAGACCACCTTTATGTTTCATTCAGACAACCATTATGTTTCATTCAGACCACCTTTATGTTTCATTCAGACAACCATTATGTTTCATTCAGACAACCTTTATGTTTCATTCGGACAACCTTTATGTTTCATTCGGACAACCTTTATGTTTCATTCGGACAACCTTTATGTTTCATTCAGACAACCTTTATGTTTCATTCAGACAACCTTTATGGTTCATTCGGACAACCTTTATGTTTCATTCAGACAACCTTTATGTTTCATTCAGACAACCTTTATGTTTCATTCAGACCACCTTTATGTTTCATTCAGACAACCTTTATGTTTCATTCAGACAACCATTATGTTTCATTCAGACCACCTTTATGTTTCATTCGGACAACCATTATGTTTCATTCAGACCACCTTTATGTTTCATTCAGACCACCTTTATGTTTCATTCGGACAACCTTTATGTTTCATTCAGACCACCTTTATGTTTCATTCAGACAACCTTTATGTTTCATTCGGACAACCTTTATGTTTCATTCAGACCACCATTATGTTTCATTCAGACAACCTTTATGTTTCATTCAGACCACCTTTATGTTTCATTCGGACAACCTTTATGTTTCATTCGGACAACCTTTATGTTTCATTCGGACAACCTTTATGTTTCATTCAGACAACCTTTATGTTTCATTCAGACAACCTTTATGGTTTCATTCGACAACCTTATGTTTCATTCAGACAACCTTTATGTTTCATTCAGACAACCTTTATGTTTTCATTCAGACCACCTTTATGTTTCATTCAGACAACCTTTTGTTTCATTCAGACAACCTTATGTTTCATTCAGACCACCTTTATGTTTCATTCGGACAACCATTATGTTTCATTCAGACCACCTTTATGTTTCATTCAGACCACCTTTATGTTTCATTCAGACAACCTTTATGTTTCATTCAGACCACCTTTATGTTTCATTCAGACAACCTTTATGTTTCATTCGGACAACCTTTATGTTTCATTCAGACCACCATTATGTTTCATTCAGACAACCTTTATGTTTCATTCAGACCACCTTTATGTTTTCATTCGACAACCATTATGTTTCATTCAGACAACCTTTATGTTTCATTCGGACAACCTTTATGTTTCATTCGGACAACCTTTATGTTTCATTCGGACAACCTTTATGTTTCATTCAGACAACCATTATGTTTCATTCGGACAACCTTTATGTTTCATTCGGACAACCTTTATGTTTCATTCGGACAACCTTTATGTTTCATTCGGACAACCTTTATGTTTCATTCAGACAACCTTTATGTTTCATTCAGACCACCTTTATGTTTCATTCAGACAACCTTTATGTTTCATTCAGACAACCTTTATGTTTCATTCAGACATCCTTTATGTTTCATTCAGACCACCTTTATGTTTCATTCAGACAACCTTTATGTTTCATTCAGACAACCATTATGTTTCATTCAGACAACCTTTATGTTTCATTCGGACAACCTTTATGTTTCATTCGGACAACCTTTATGTTTCATTCGGACAACCTTTATGTTTCATTCGGACAACCTTTATGTTTCATTCAGACAACCTTTATGTTTCATTCGGACAACCTTTATGTTTCATTCGGACAACCTTTATGTTTCATTCAGACAACCTTTATGTTTCATTCAGACAACCTTTATGTTTCATTCAGACAACCTTTATGTTTCATTCAGACAACCTTTATGTTTCATTCAGACCACCTTTTTGTTTCATTCAGACAACCTTTATGTTTCATTCAGACCACCATTATGTTTCATTCAGACCACCTTTATGTTTCATTCGGACAACCATTATGTTTCATTCAGACCACCTTTATGTTTCATTCAGACCACCTTTATGTTTCATTCGGACAACCTTTATGTTTCATTCAGACCACCTTTATGTTTCATTCAGACAACCTTTATGTTTCATTCAGACCACCTTTATGTTTCATTCAGACAACCTTTATGTTTCATTCAGACAACCTTTATGTTTCATTCAGACCACCTTTATGTTTCATTCAGACCACCTTTATGTTTCATTCAGACAACCATTATGTTTCATTCAGACAACCATTATGTTTCATTCAGACCACCGTTATGTTTCATTCAGACAACCTTTATGTTTCATTCAGACAACCTTTATGTTTCATTCAGACCACCGTTATGTTTCATTCAGACAACCTTTATGTTTCATTCAGACAACCTTTATGTTTCAGTGGCGCAGTGGTCTAAGGCAATGCATCACTGTGCCACTAGATCCTGGTTCGAATCCAGGCTCTGTCGCAGCCGGCCGCGACCGGGAGACTCATGGGCGGCGCACAATTGGCCCAGCGTCGTCCAGGGTAGGGGAGGGAATGGCCGGCAGGGATGTAGCTCAGTTCGTTTCCCACGGGGGGCCAGTATAAAAAAATATGTATTCACTAACTGTGAGTCGCTCTGGATAAGAGCGTCTGCTAAATGACTAAAATGTAATTGTGTGTTTTGCAAAGTTCAGGACAAAACTATTTAGCATACGTAATTCCGTTTTTAACCACCATGTATACAAAATAAAACAAAACAATCATGATATGTAGCCTAGCCTGACATTCTAACAGCAATAAGCACCCTCTTTGGAAACAAAACTATTCTTCACACACTTCTTAATGAATGAATGGATAAACGTGCCTGGTGATTGTGTTGGTTTGGTGATGATTTGAATTCACAAATGGTGTTGTTGTTGTTGTTGTGATCAGAGCACTGCGCTGCACGTGGCAGCCAGGGAGGGCCATGTAGCTGCAGTCTCACTGCTGCTGCGGAGAGGGGCGGAGATCAGCCTCAACAAGAACCACGCCTCCTTCTTCCACGAAGCACTGCAACATGGGAGGAAGGACGTGGTTAACTCCATCATAGACAGTGACAGGTCGGTCCAGAAGACAAAATACTCTATCGATCCAGTCCACGAAAATTATTTATAATGTTCTTGGGTCCTTCCAGATAAAGATATGTTCATGTGTATGTGTTTGCTGTTTGTGTATTACAGATGTACTCACATCCTGAGGACGTTCAAACATGAAGCTGGCCAACGTTGTCCAGTGTTGGACCTGGTTGACTTGCTGCCAGAGTCTTGCAAGGTTTGCTCCGACTTTCTTGGTAAAATAGGGGTTAGTGATGATACGTTCGAGCATCGACTTTTTTAGGTAGGTGAAGGAAGAAAATATATTGAGAAAAGAGAGCAACGTAGCAATATGCCTACTGTATGTAGTTATCATGGGTGTCCTGAGAACAAATATATTATATCCCATTGCTGAAAACTAGAAGTTCAAGTTCTCAGTCAACTTACTTGATAAAATAAGGGTTCATGATAATATGCTTGTGCGTTGACTTTTGCAAATACATAAATGTGGAGGAAAATCCCAAGTGACCATTAGGTTAACCAGGCGATTAACCAGGTGATTAACCAGGTGATTAACCAGGTGATTTCACCTCATCTCCCTGTACCTGTTAAGCGCCTACTGGACCGCTGCATCAGAGAATCAGACGACGACATCAAAAGTCCTGATTACCACGTGAGTATATTCTACACATTTAATACCAGGGATGCAAAATGACAGTAACTTGAAAGAAATTCCCTGGTTTTCCAGAAATCCGGGTTGGAGGATTCCCTGTTTCCCCTGCCTATTCCCTCTAGATTCCGGGAATCTTCCAACCAGTATTTCATGGAAAACCTGAACAGTTTTGGGAAAGTGAATGGAATTTTGCAACCCTACTGTACGATTGCAGTTTGGACATTTCTTACAATTTCAAATGTTTTTTTTATTTTTTTATTTTGTGTAGATCGAGTACAATTTCCAGTGGCTTCAGGCTCCAATAGCACTGAAGAAGCATGCGAAGATTAACAAAAGCCTGAAGATCCAGCCTCTGGCAACTCTGAATGTAAGAACAATACAAGTACATTACACTATTTTACCTCAGCTTTACTGTAAAAGCAAGCCTATTCTGTTCAGAACAGTGAGCTCCCGTGACAGCGAGAGATCTAACGAGAACGAGTTTCACCTCGCTGTAAAACAGCCTGGTGAAGGTATATTAAGACAGAAATGTCGGGGGTACAAAAGATCCATTAACTGTTGGAAGCATCAAGATCACCAGTGTGCTGGAGTTTTCTTTTTAATTAAGAGAGAGATTATTATCCGATACAGTGATCCAAATAATCGCCAACCTGTTATTCTCTCTCTCAGGCCATGGTGAAATATAACTGCATAGAGCTCCTCTCACACCCCGTCTGCAAGAAATACCTGCAGATGAAGTGGTCAGTATTCAGAGTAATCTAGGACCCTGTTCCATATAGCAGGGGTCGGAACTGAAATTATTTTCCCAATCGTTTAGTTTTGAACAGAACCACCATTTTGTTCGTTCCTTTCCACTGTTCCGACCAGCAAAATAAAGTTATGAACTGGTTAGAACCCAAAAAAAAAAAGTACAGGTTTAAATCAGTCCTTTTTAATCTAGGAAATCATTTTTTAAAATTACATTTAGCTCATTAAACTACCTCAGCCAAGCTGGTTGTTTACATGCGTGATGGACAGACAAGTGTAGCCTATGGCGCAAGATGCGACTGACATTTTGAGGGTGGGTAGAGAGCGAGAGAGGGTTGAGGAGGAGGCTTGAAGCGCTGCGCATCTTGTTATGACATGCATTATCTGAATTAGGTCCACAGAATTATACCTTGGAGGAGCGGCTTCTATGGAGGAACTTTGAATGTCCTTTGAGCTAGCGAGCGAACAAGCTTGTGTGTGCAGAGCGGCACCAGAATTAAAAACACCTCTTACCTTTTTGTAGTTAATAAACTGGGACTATAGTATCCTTAACTAGCATTGAAAAAGTTAATCCCATTCTTCTCTAGCCAATAAAACATCTCCACATCTTCTGAATCACGATTATAACGTCAGTACAGTAGCCTATGCTTCGGAGGGGGGAGGGGCAGTTAGCCTAAACACGCACACACTGGCAAAGATTTTCAATTTGCAGACACTGGTTTTGCATAGGCGCTTTATTTCAATTTTTTGCGTGACTTTATGCCTGGAACGTTTTATTTATTTAGTATTTAACCTTTATTTAACTAGGCAAGTCAGTTAAGAACAAATTCTTATTTACACTGACGGCCTCCAAGAGGCTAAAGGCCTCCTGAGGGACGAAGGCTGGGATAAAAAAATAAAAAAGTAGGACAAAACACACATCACAGCAAGAGAGACGCCACAACACTACATAAAGAGAGACACCACAACACTACATAAAGAGAGACACCACAACACTACATAAAGAGAGACACCACAACACTACATAAAGAGAGACGCCACAACACTACATAAAGAGAGACACCACAACACTACATAAAGAGAGACACCACAACACTACATAAAGAGAGACACCACAACACTACATAAAGAGAGACACCACAACACTACATAAAGAGAGACGCCACAACACTACATAAAGAGAGACACCACAACACTACATAAAGAGAGACGCCACAACACTACATAAAGAGAGACACCACAACACTACATAAAGAGAGACACCACAACACTACATAAAGAGAGACACCACAACACTACATAAAGAGAGACACCACAACACTACATAAAGAGAGACACCACAACACTACATAAAGAGAGACACCACAACACTACATAAAGAGAGACACCACAACACTACATAAAGAGAGACACCACAACACTACATAAAGAGAGACACCACAACACTACATAAAGAGAGACACCACAACACTACATAAAGAGAGACACCACAACACTACATAAAGAGAGACACCACAACACTACATAAAGAGAGACACCACAACACTACATAAAGAGAGACACCACAACACTACATAAAGAGAGACACCACAACACTACATAAAGAGAGACGCCACAACACTACATAAAGAGAGACGCCACAACACTACATAAAGAGAGACGCCACAACACTACATAAAGAGAGACGCCACAACACTACATAAAGAGAGACGCCACAACACTACATAAAGAGAGACACCACAACACTACATAAAGAGAGACACCACAACACTACATAAAGAGAGACACCACAACACTACATAAAGAGAGACGCCACAACACTACATAAAGAGAGACGCCACAACACTACATAAAGAGAGACACCACAACACTACATAAAGAGAGACACCACAACACTACATAAAGAGAGACCTAAGACAACAACATGGTAGCAATACAACATGACAGCAGCACGACATGGTAGCAGCACAAAACATGGTACAAACATTAGAGAATGTTATTGACCGGTTCCAATGCTTTTAAAATAACGTTTCTGTTCCGGAACAGTATGGATCACTTTCGTTCCAGGTTTCGTTCCTTGAAAAATGTTGTTATTTTTCCGGTTTTCGGTTCTGTTCCCTGAACCGGTTCCAACCCTTGCTATACAGTACACTGATTTTTGACCAGGGCCCATAAGGCTTTTATGATTCTTCTGTTCCCAACTGCAGGGTGGCCTACGGGAGCGCTGCTCACCTTCTGAACCTGTTTGTGTACCTGCTTGGCCTACTTCCTCTCACCCACCTCATAGTGAGCCTGAGACCCAGCCTGGACTACACCGGCCCTGACAACACCACAGCTGTCACCATGGTGCCCATTTCCTTCAGAGAGGTACCGCACGCTGATACTCACTGCATGGCTGTCAGATTCCAGGTGCTGTGGGCTCCGCTGTAATGGTATGCGAGTGTGTTAGGAGGAATTGTAATGAAAGGAGCAGATGCTTTTGTGTTAACAAACAAAAGAAAGCGAGTGCATGGGGGAGACCTTGCCAAAAATGGATTGGCTAGTGAATAACACAACCTGTATCAATTTACTAGTGGGAATAAAAATGACCTGATTCTCACAATCGGCCTTAGTAAAGGTCTAGTGGTCAAACAGTTCAATGGAGGTGATTTCCATTATGCATTCGCTTGTATATTGTATATAAACAACACACTGTTATAGAACAGGGTTTCCCAAACTTGGTCCTGGGGACCCAAAGGGTTGCACATTTTCGATGTTTACCCTGGCACTACACATCTGATTCGCTGAACGTTGCATCTGAACGCTGCTATAGAAAGACAGATTCCGTTTAGTCAAGGTTACAGGTTATTGAGGCGATTCGTACAGTACATTACAACTGTCCCTATGTATTGCACTATATAGGGAATAGGGTGCCATTCTCTGGTCTAAAGTAGTGCACTATATAGGGAATAGGGTGCCATTTGGGATGCATCCCGAAGGTCTCTGGTCAGGGCCCGCAGGTCTCTGGTCAGGGCCCGCAGGTCTCTGGTCAGGGCCCGCAGGTCTCTGGTCAGGGGTCACAGGTCTCTGGTCAGGGCCCGCAGGTCTCTGGTCAGGGCCCGCAGGTCTCTGGTCAGGGGTCGCAGGTCTCTGGTCAGGGCCCGCAGGTCTCTGGTCAGGGCCCGCAGGTCTCTGGTCAGGGCCCGCAGGTCTCTGGTCAGGGGTCGCAGGTCTCTGGTCAGGGGTCGCAGGTCTCTGGTCAGGGCCCGCAGGTCTCTGGTCAGGGCCCGCAGGTCTCTGGTCAGGGCCCGCAGGTCTCTGGTCAGGGGTCGCAGGTCTCTGGTCAGGGGTCGCAGGTCTCTGGTCAGGGCCCGCAGGTCTCTGGTCAGGGCCCGCAGGTCTCTGGTCAGTGCACTAAAATAGTGAATAGGGTGCCGTTAAGGACACAGCCAGTTTGCCTTTGACAAGTTTGTACTTTTCCACCTAAAATATTTGTGATTATTGTATATCATTATTTTATGTAGCCGACTGCCACAGCAGCAGAGAGTTCGAGTCAGTTCATATGCATTGTCGCTGAAGTGCTTGCTACACACATGCAGCAATATAAGGTTTGCTGCAGTAGTTTCTACATCGTATTTACTATTTCTAATTGCTACCAACCTTTTGCATCTCTATGTATCTTTTACCGGAAAACGGTTACATTTTTTTTATTTTTACCTTTATTTAACTAGGCAAGTCAGTTAAGAACAAATTCTTATTTACAATGACGGCCTACACCGGCCAAACCCGGACGACGCTGGGCCAATTGTGCGCCGCCCTATGGGACTCCCAATCACGGCCCGTTGTGATACAGCCTGGAATCGAACCAGGGGGTCTGTAGTGACGCCTCAAGCACTGAGCTGCAGTGCCTTAGACCGCTGCGCCACTCGGGAGACTTCTTCCCTTGATTTCCTTTATAAAGTGCAGCCAGGGATCGAACACCAGCCTGCTCTTACAACCGTCTCTGTTTCCACTTTGTATAACTAACTTTACCTGCGATATTCCTAACTCTATCAACTTTCGCACCAGCTCCTTCTCCCACCAAATAAAACTGACGTCAAGCTCCATTTAAGGGCATATTGTGACCAGAGTGTACCCCACGAGGGCACACATGCGCAGTTGTTACCCATCTCCACTGCTGTGGCAGTCAGCTACATAAAATAATTATATAAAATAATCGCAAATGTTTTAGGTGGAAAAGTACACATTTCCTGACTCAAAACCGATAGTACAAAAATAGCTAAGTCGGCCGCAAGCTTTCAATAAAACAATAAATGTGTCCACAGTCGCGGATTTGTGAATCATGCATTCACTGACAACGGAGCAGAGCGGGGTCCTGCATCCAGCAATGTCATGAGTCACATGACCCGTTTTTGCAGCTGTCTCAGTTCTGCACTCCAGGGAGAGAGAGAGGGGGAGAGGGCAAACTCGTACTGAACTAGTTTCAATATATGGAATCACTTGGGTTTTTAGGTATTTTGGGTAAACTTCTCCTTTAAATCTGAAGACCTTTGACCTTTGTTGACCTTTGCCCCACAGCAAGGCTCCTTCCTGTTCAGCTGCATGGTGATGGTGCTGGTGATGAACATTTATTCCATGGGGAAGGAAGTGATGCAGATGTACCACCAGGTAGACCTTCAGTTCAGGCAGACATACAGACCATCGCTGGGGATCTCTTATTTAGACCTGTGACCAACAGTAAAGATGTGCAAAAGACGAACGTTTACATCTGCAATGATTACAGGTTACTGGTGACTGGTGCCAGTTTCTGCCTGTAACTTGCTAGTTGCTATTTATTGGTGGTGTCAAGAACATTGTAGGGCTTTTATGCAGAAGGCGCTGGTTAAACAGTGGACTATTGTCAGTTCTTCCGTGTGTGATCAATTGGGCTAATACAAAAGCAACAATCTTTGCAGTAGGCTTCATAATTTGAATACTCACTCAGCTCAAGTAAAGTTTTGTCAGTCTTGCATTAAAGTCAATTGGAGGCTCGTTCTAAAATGAGAGTTCCAGCCGTGTACCTGACACTCATGTTTTCTCTCCATAGCGTTTGAGTTACTTCAAGGACCCCTTTAACTGTCAGGACTGGGTGGTGGCCATCTTCTCTCTTCTCTTCGTCATCCCCCTGTACTTCAACGCTGAGGGGTCCTGGCACTGGCAGGCTGGGGCAATGGCAGTCTTTTAATCCTGGATTAGCTTCCTCCTCTATCTGCAAAGGTATTTACCAACTGTCCAAAAACAATGTAGCTGACTTTTCCTCGGTCTAGACTCTAGACTGACAATAATGTTTATTTTTATTTTTTGACTGTCGTTTTTTTGACTATTGTAAGTGGTGCACAAATCAATGGAGTTACTTGATTGATTGGTTGACATATCAAATGTTTTTAAAATCCTTCCTGCGTTTACTATGTCCAGGTTTGAACACTTTGGGATCTACGTGGTGATGTTTAACGAGATTGCGAAGACATTGTGGAAAATCCTACTGCTGTTCCTCTTTCTGATGCTGGCTTTCGCCTTGGTCTTCCACGCCCTCATGCTCAACCAGGTGAGAAGAGACATCAGAAACACTGGTCCCACTTTAAATGACACAACGTTTTTTTAAAGGTCAACTGCCCTTGACAACCAACTTCTCCTTTTTGATAACGGCCTCGATGTGGCATCGATATGAGTCAGAAACATTTATTCTAGTGTCAAAAATATAATTTTGGTCATAAAGTCAGCCTCGTCCAAAACTGAGTTCTGTAAGTGAGTTCATCACGATTTACTGGAGGGTTTGGGATTACTTACATACCCACTTTTGCCAACGATGACCAATTGCCAAGAGACAACACGTTGTCAAGTCTGCATAGGGGTGCAACGCACGCATATTCTCTCGGCAAATGGTCCTCTGTAGCTCAGCTGGTAGAGCACGGCGCTTGTAATGCCAAGGTAGTGGGTTCGATCCCCGGGACCGCCCATACACAAAAAAAAAAATGGATGCACACATGACTGTAAGTCGCTTTGGATAAAATCGTCTGCTAAATGGCATAGTATATTATTATATTATTAAATAGGAGTGAAAATGGGCTTCCATAAACTTGGTGGAAACTTCCAATGCATTTCAACAATGTTGCCAGATGGCCAGTAATGGATTACATCCGACACGGTCAGTTCTGCTGCCTGTCAACCGTCAAACCACTGGTGTTGGTGAGTACGTTAACTAAGTACATAGCTGGTACTAGCTTGCTAGTAGCTACTTTTGGTTATACAACATTTGATAATGCTAGCGAGCCAAGCTAGCTATGATACCACAGATGAAAGGAGAATGATACTGTAGCTAGCTAAATACATCAAGCTAACATGTAATGTGATTTAGAATGTCAGAGGAAGATGTGCTTAGCTCACATTAGCTAGATGCCATGCTAACAACAGCTAACTGTAGCCCATTGGCATTTAGAGTCAATACAGGTCAGGCACTTGAATACTATATAGATTGCAAGCTAATCATAGGATGTAGCCAGCTTGCTTTCAATACTTTTTCAACTCGAACTGGCTAGCTAATGTTAGAAAGTTATTTTTCTCACTAAATGTTTATTGAGTGATTATATATTTGATTTCATTCACAGGCTATGTACGGAACCTGGTGGGAACCCCTCTAGCATATCAGGAGCTGCCCCAGAAGACTGAGGCAGTAACCAGACACCAGACCCGCTTCAGAGTACTGGAGGACACCTGAATCAGGTTGGTCACATTTTGATCTGGTCAATGGTCAAAATACTATCTGTCCTGGAAATTACCTAACCGCCACTGATAATGTAATCAGTGCTGTGTGTGTGTATATGTGTGTCTTTGTATCTTGTAAGGAGGTGCCCCCTTCCACTGTGCCAATGGACAACTCCAAGGCAGAGTGAGTTATGCCAACCAGTCAGTGCCATGCTGGCACGTGTCCCTTGTGAATTAGCTGTGAATCAGGATCTCTGATTGGCTATGTTCAACCGTGTATTTACTGTTGGCTTCCATGACTGTATGGTGACAGCTGGGTCGGATATATGAGGCTCCTTCATGACCAGTATCTGCTGTGACGAAAGGGGCCTGAAGCTGATCTATGCTTCCATGCCCACCAGGCGAACACTTCAGAAGGGACAAAAGGCGATTACTAATAAGCCGTGTTGTGTTGGAGACCACCTAAAGCGAGACCGATTCAAGACCAAGACCGGAGGGGGGGTGTGGGACTAAGTCAAGACCGAGACCGGAGGGGGGGGGTGGGACTAAGTCAAGACCGAGACCGGAGGGGGGGGGGTGGGACTAAGTCAAGACCGAGAGGGGGACGAGACGTCCGAGACCGAGTCAAGACCGAGAATAGAAGAATGCGAGTCCAATTCAAGACCATGACTGTAATTTTGTAAAATCGTCACCATAATAAATGTTCAAAATGTCCAGTATTTCTGTGTCCATATTTCAGAAGAACATTTGCATTCTTTAGACATTCAGAATGGTAAAATAATGCATGCGGAGGGTAAATTGAGCCACTACAAGTTGTTACTAACCCAAACACAGTGGGGAACAAGGAGGGCCTTCTACACTTTCAGAGAACGGCTAATGATTTATACAATTATACAAATTATTATATTATTTTCAATTATGTTCTGATTTAATCTCTTCAGTTTTTGTTAGAAAGGAAAAGGTTAACATTAAAGAGAAAACAAATATCCAATCAGGATTTTTCTTTGGTGGTCTCTGGGGAGATAAATCTATCTAGCTAAGTCAGCCATTGGCTAGGCCAACAGAAGCTTGATAGAAGGCATCTGTCATTCAACTGTTTTAGGGCAAAATGTTGGAGTGAGTGGAATCAGCCAATCACATTGACTTGAAATGGCCAACATTTCGAAAGGCCAACAGGTCACTGTGCAATAGAGAGCAGTAGTTTTCCCACGGTCTAGCTAGCTAGCTTTTGATGTAAGCTAGTTTACAGCAGCTGCAGCAGGTGTTATCGAAGAGGATGTTGTTGCTAATTTGTTAGCTTCTCCCTTTTCAAGAATAACTTCAGCAAGAAGTTAAGTTTCAAATGATCATCATCTGGTGAGTGGAACTTTGTTTTTTATTGCAGCTCGCATTGCTGTTGTTAGCCATCTCTTTGAAAATAACTTGTGTGTGAAACATTGTTGCATTTAAACTTCAGATCACCGGTTACTTTGTGTGCTAAACGTGAAATGTGTTTTTGGGAAGTAATAGCTGTTTCTATTGGGAAATGTTTAGCCTAATGGTTGTGTTTTTGTATTCTTGTGATTGGGATCCACTGGCTTATTATGTCTGAGTTGATGGACTGCTGTCTTTCCATCGGCCCTTTGCCTGGAGAAGTGGATCCTGTGTGAAGGAAACACGCCCTATGTGAAAAATCTTGTTTTCCTATAGATTTTTCAGATATTCTCCAAACACTTTTTCAAATAAAGAAAATGACAAAGATGTTTTAAATCCACAACAAGCTTAAACCACATCAGGAGATCATTTTTGATCTGATGTTTTAAATCCACAACTAGCTTAAACCACATCGGGAGACCATTTTTGATGTGATGTTTTAAATCCACAACAAGCTTAAACCACATCAGGAGTTCAATAAATTGTGACAATAAAATAACAACAAAACTTATAAGCAGTAGAATGGCAAAAGTCTTACTAGACTTGATAAATATCCATCAAACAGGGTTTATTAAAAATAGACACTTACAAACAAATAAAAGAACATGTTTCAGTTTAATACAATATGCAAAAAAAATCTAGATTTATCAATAATGGCTGTTGATGCCGAAAAGGCTTTCGACCATCTTGAATGGCCTTTTCTATTCAAAACTTTGGAAGCTTTCAACATTCCAACTGAAATAATAAATGTAAAACAAATATTTTGTGTTAATGTCCTAAAGCTAAAATATACACAAATAATACATTATCTGATGAAATTGCTTTAGAAAGGGGCACAAGACAGAGATGTCCCCTCTCCCCCTCCTATTTGCCCTGGCAATTGTACCGCTTGCAGAAATAATTAGACAGGAGTCAAACGTAACAGAAATCAGTATTGGTAAACATTAATCTAAACTAAACTTATTTGCAGATGATCTCCTGATATACCTGACCAATATTGAAAACTCAATGCCCCCTCTGCTAAAGATATTTTCAGAATACTCTAAAATCTCAGGATATAAAATGAATGTGGGAAAAAATGAAATAATGGCAATAGGAAAATATAAATAATAACTCATCTGATGATCTACAGATATCCTTAAGTGGACCCCAACAAATATTAAATACTAAGAATACTTAATACAGTGGGGGAAAAAAGTATTTAGTCAGCCACCAATTGTGCAAGTTCTCCCACTTAAAAAGATGAGAGAGGCCTGTAATTTTCATCATAGGTACACGTCAACTATGACAGACAAACTGAGAAAAAAATATCCAGAAAATCACATTGTAGGATTTTTAATGAATTTATTTGCAAATTATGGTGGAAAATAAGTATTTGGTCAATAACAAAAGTTTCTCAATACTTTGTTATATACCCTTTGTTGGCAATGACACAAGTCAAACGTTTTCTGTAAGTCTTCAAGGTTTTCACACACTGTTGCTGGTATTTTGGCCCATTCCTCCATGCAGATCTACTCTAGAGCAGTGATGTTTTGGGGCTGTCGCTGGGCAACACGGACTTTCAACTCCCTCCAAAGATTTTCTATGGGGTTGAGATCTGGAGACTGGCTAGGCCACTCCAGGACCTTGAAATGCTTCTTACGAAGCCACTCCTTCGTTGCCCGGGCGGTGTGTTTGGGATCATTGTCATTCTGAAAGACCCAGCCACGTTTCATCTTCAATGCCCTTGCTGATGGAAGGAGGTTTTCACTCAAAATCTCACGATACATGGCCCCATTCATTCTTTCCTTTACACGGATCAGTCGTCCTGGTCCCTTTGCAGAAAAACAGCCCCAAAGCATGATGTTTCCACCCCCATGCTTCACAGTAGGTATGGTGTTCTTTGGATGCAACTCAGCATTCTTTGTCCTCCAAACACGACAAGTTGAGTTTTTACCAAAAAGTTCTATTTTGGTTTCATCTGACCATATGACATTCTCCCAATCCTCTTCTGGATCATCCAAATGCACTCTATCAAACTTCAGACGGGCCTGGACATGTACTGGCTTAAGCAGGGGGACACGTCTTGCACTGCAGGATTTGAGTCCCTGGCGGCGTAGTGTGTTACTGATGGTAGGCTTTGTTACTTTGGTCCCAGCTCTCTGCAGGTCATTCACTAGGTCCCCCCGTGTGGTTCTGAGATTTTTGCTCACCATTCTTGTGATCATTTTGACCCCACGGGGTGAGATCTTGCGTGGAGCCCCAGATCGAGGGAGATTATCAGTGGTCTTGTATGTCTTCCATTTCCTAATAATTGCTCCCACAGTTGATTTATTCAAACCAAGCTGCTTACCTATTGCAGATTCAGTCTTCCCAGCCTGGTGCAGGTCTACAATGTTGTTTCTGGTGTCCTTTGACAGCTCTTTGGTCTTGGCCATAGTGGAGTTT